AAAGCGAACTAAGCGGTCATCACCATCATTATGAGGATACTACATGTCAAAGCTTACAGTCCGCACCATTAGGTTCATTTTTATGTGACACATCTCAACAATCAAACCTCTGGTGTAGACACTATCTCATTTAGTGTTACTTCACACTCAGTTAAAGCCTATAACTCATGCTGATGAGGCCTATTATAACATGTTGTAGATACCAGACAACAATCCATAAACCACCAGCCTTTGTTTTTAGTTGTACTTAAACAGAGCAGCTGTCAAACACAGGGAAAAGTATGAAACTCTTATCATCGCCACATTCATCTCTCTGCTGCTGCCATCCACTTGGCATGTAAACAGTCATTTTATCTGCAGCTGATGGAATGAACTGCATTTTTTTAGGAGCAGCAACACTGACTGAATAGCTGACACCTTTTTGTATCTGTTGCATGTTAGCATAAAGTCAGCTTTAGGGCTGTACAGTGATGTGATTTATTGGAAAGTCAGTATCAGGTGGTGACAGAAGACATTCCTCTGGCCGAGATAACCTATAAATCACAGAGCAGCAGCAGAACAAATGCGGAAAAGATTCTTTAGTCATACAAACGTAAAAAGAAACCCAGAGCCCTCCTGCCTCAAACACTGATGACTGTAAGATCTTGTGAAACTGCTATCAGCCTGACATAACAATGGTTAATCAACTTGCAGGGAAGAGGGGGCGTTCAAGGAAATCAGGTTTTCCTTATCTATACTACACGGAGCTACTACATTCCCACTGCTGAAATCAGATGCAAGAAATCTGGTTTAAAATGTCAAGCAGAAAGAGACGGAAATTCACACAGTCATATCTCAGACCATACTTGGAGTGTTGTTTTTGTCAGACACTGTGAATTTCTGCCTTTCCCTCATAATGCAGCAGAGTTAAAATACTTGCTATAATTCCCAGTAATCTCACAAAGTCTGCTTTGAATGCCTGATTGAGCCTGTTGCTGGGTTGGTGAAATCCCAGTCCCCACAAAAGCACATCCTTGCAGCTTTCCCAGTGGCCCAACTAGCATTCCTCACATATTTTCACAAAGATTTCTGGGAGTTGGAGTTTAAAGCTGGTGCTGTACTACGCTCCACTGGCAAACAGAGTGAAACGCACACATTGTGGGTAATTTTGGGATGAACTACAACATTATTAAGTAGTCTTCAGAGCTGAACCCGACACACTACTGGACTAGAGGTGTATTTGTATGAAAAGGAAAAGAGAGCTGGATAACAATAGCTCACTGTTAGGTGTATGAACCAGGAATGTTTCAGGTCACTGGAAGTCATAAATCTGACCAGTTTACTGAGGAATCTGACTGACGTTTGATATTGCATTAAATTTCCTCTTCCATGAAGAAGAATCAGATTACTAAAAAAACTCAGGTGACCAGACCGACGGGGTACCGTCACAGTCTCTTACTGTACCTGGGGCTGCTGTTTGGTGAAACATAACAAACCGGAAAGGCTGAGCTGCTGTCTTATTCCATGTCAAAGACCTGTCAGACTTTACATTTAATGATACACGTTGGGAAAGAATTAATGTGAGCAGCCGCACGGTCGGTGCCCATGGGCGTTACATCCCGTGTTTGCATGGGTACTTCTTCAAGAGGTAGGGGATCGAGGCCACAACTGCTGCCAAATCTCATCTGATTCATCGGCCGTGGTTACAATATCCACCGCAACCTTTTGTCACGTTAAAGGGAATGGAGGGAGTTTACTGCCCTGTCCACAGAAACAAAACAAAACTGCCTCCACTTGGAGTCGTCGCCCCCCTCCGCCCGGGCCGCCCTGGCATCTCCTCCAGTAACGCCGGGCTAAGTTCTGGTAGTTTGTCAGGAAGGCTTGGTGAATTAAAGTGACTTTGTGTGAGTGTGTGTAATCCCAGTGCTCCCAGGCCTTTAGCATACCTATCTCTGGGGTCAATCCATGAAGTTTGCCGGGTGTTGTGGTCGATATAAAAGACTCTGCCATCGTAATCCCGGGCTTCCTCCCAGCCCGCGGGCAGCGGCAGCTCCGAGCTCTCTCTCCGCTTACCGCCGCTGACCCACGGCATAGCGTCGGGATGATGAGAGGGCTGAAGCCCTCTGCCCTGCTTTTTATCCCCCCGAAAAAGTCGGTCTTCACCGCATTACAACAAACTCTACCTCGACGCACTTGTCGGCGCACAAAATGGAGACGCAAATACAAAACTTTCCACCGAGGTTGTCCGTAGAAATAGTCCTGCAGAGGGTACATCCACGTTTCTTCTTACAACCCCCCCAAAAAAACACTACCGCAGCGCTCTCACGGTCCTCGGTCCTCCATGTTCGCCTCCTCCACCATATTTCATTCCTCCGTGTCCATATTCGGGGAAGAGCGGATTTGCATAAACGGTCGGACGTACGACTGAGCGAGCTCCTCTGTCCAATAGGGAAACTTCAGAGCTCAAAGCTTTCACTAAAGCGTATAGTTGCTGTGAAAATATATAAAAATGTGTTTAATGTTTCACCTCAGCGATAATTCAGTCACTCAGTGGGTAAAAGAGGCAGGAACAAGACCACATTTAAGTAGCTAACGTTACTGTTCAGCTTTCAAACAACAACCTGTGGATTGGCATAAGTGGCCATTCACGTCATTAAATACTTACTTACTATTATGTGGGAATATGTTATCACTGAAGTAGGTAAGTAGTTTGTATCACGAGTTTAACTTTCATGCAGGGACAACTCCCCCCTGAACACAGTGACAAACCCGGGGTTGGTTGTTGACTGCAGGGTTATTTCAGTGGTGCAGTAGCGCCACCTGGTGTCTCCAATAGACACAGCAGCATTAACAACACCACCCGGTCACGCTCAACATCGCCCCTGTGAAATAGGTGCTTTCATTTTGGCCTGTCACAGCAGGTAAAGCACAGCTGTAATTGATAACTTTAAAAACATGCTGTATGGTCCTGATGTTGTTGGGGGCACTAAGGTCTGAGGGCCTTGTTCTATGGCCCTCTACTTAAGACCACTTTTTTTTTGCCACAATTTGGACCAATCATTTGTTCCTCAGGGCCAATTAGAGCAAAGAGGGCCCACATCGACTATTAATTACGTTACATTTAATTACAATAATAAACTTTGCTTTTCTGCAAAGCAACTCACAATTGCCATATACTGTATATACCAGAGGTCGCATGCCTCTGGCGTAATTAGGGTTTAAGTGTCTTGCTCAGGGACACATTGGTGGATGTGTTACAGTGGGAATCAAACCCGGGTCTCTCACACCAAAGGCATGTGTCTTTTCCGCTGTTTCATCGCCACCCCCAGCTGCAGGAGCAACTTATTACAGTGAGTACAACCAAATAAAAGTGAAATCTTCCATCAGAACAGCTTAAAGGAATCAGAATCAGAATCCGCTTTATTGCCAGGTATGTATACACATACAATGAATTTCACTCAGGATTGTTCATTGCTCATGATGTGCTTACTCAGACAATAATACAATTTTAAAATAAGATAAAATAAAATAAACACACTATAAACAGAAACAAAAACAATATAGACAGATTGAGACAACAGTACAATAAGCAGAGTGCAAAGGATTCAGGAGTAAATGATTATTATCATTATAATTATTATTATATGTTCATGTCGGAGGTGGATGTGGTATACAGGTACACACACAGGTTATTGCACAGGAATTGTTCCTGAAACTGTGAGTCAGAAGCTAATTGAACAGAGTTCAAGGGTCAGAGCCATGGTATGCCATATCGTCATGACCACTTATAAAAGAAAATTATTAAATAAGAGCAGAATATAGAAGACCGGAAGTAACACTGTTACAGCAACAGATACGTTTGAGTTAAAGTCAGTTTTTTGATGTTTTAGGTGATCCAGGACCTTTGTTGACCTCTGTCTGTGACTATCAGAACTACAACAACACTGATTAAACGCTGGTGCAGTGACTGAAATTTAGTGTGACAAGAAATTCAAGAGGAATTTCCAAACAGGGGGAACGTCTGTTGCCAAACCGGTAGTCATTATGACAGGTACATTCTCCCTATGTTCTTCTGAAGTTATGCTTCTGAGACTGAGAAAATATTGCCTTTTTCTTTGGGGGTTTGGTACTGCCTGTAACTGCAGTCCCCCGTGCAGACCTCTCCGTTTGCATAGTGACACCAGCACACCTGACTGTGTGTTTGTGTAGGTGTGGGGGTGCAGCTGAGCAAGTGTGGCCACTTTGTCAAGATGTCAGTGCAGTCAGCTGGGCATTTTGTTCTCCAGAGGAGGAGCAATTTAACAGACTGGGGATTTTATGTGGTCATTTTTGTTTGCATATTGTGTGTGTGTGTGTGTGTGTGTGTGTGTGTGTTCATGGCTGGGAAACATTTTCTCGCATCAGAGCTTCGATCTATAGCCTCCTACGATCATTTCCCACAAGCCATGTAGTGTTCATATGAGAGCACACAATAAGCTGCACTGTTGTTTCTGTTTCAGTCACATGCAGTGAAAAGCCTTACTGTGACACTCGCTGTCACAAACTTAAGAAATGGTCAACTGTAAACTATCCGTGGAGCAGATTTTTATTTATTTTTATTACATGGACAATAAAGTAATTACTTAGGAAGACTGCCTTCTTGATACATTAATAACTGTTTTTATGACTGTAAATAGTTTACTTATAAACTCACAAAATGAACATTTTAATCTTAATCACAGAATAAAAACTGGAGATTTTATAATATCTCAAGATGCAGGCCGGTTTATTTGAAGTTTATCTTTTTTTTTTTGCATTATTATATAATTACCTGACTGTGATGTTTTAAGTTGGCCCATGATAATTTATTTACTTATTTATTTTGCTGTCTCTCTGAGATCAGACAGGATGCATTAAATGGACATCAGGGAGATCATTTCCTACGCAAAAAAACACAATATTATATCCTGTCTACATTTAATTTCATCCCTTGTGGCCTGCTATTAAGAATGGCCCTGTTGCCCCTGCTGCCCATTGGCACAGCAGCTGGAGCAGGAGGACCACAAAGGGGAGGGCCGAACGGGCCCCCTCTCCTCCTTGCAGCAGAGGATGTGAGCTCCTCTGAGTGGGCACTGTTTGTGAAAGAGCTCAGAGTCCAGAGCCTGAGCAGTCAACTCTAATTACCAGGTGTTGTGAGCGGCTCCTGTCCCAACTGGACATCCACAGGCCTCTCCAACTCAAGTGCAGCCATAGAAGAAGAACTCTTGAGGCTCTGTCAAGCGTGGAGGCCAGAGAGAGAGAAACAGAGCGAGAGAGAGAGAAAGATGGACACATGCGCCTGCGCTTTGGAGCTGCTGGGGATGCTGGTCTATGTCGGAGCGTGGCTGTGCGCTTTAGCCTCCACTATCTTACCACAGTGGCTGACCATGTCCACTGCGCTGCTGGCGGTAGAGAGCTACGAGCTGGGCCTGTGGGAGACATGCGTGGTCCAGGATATCGGGGGCATGGAGTGCAGAGCTTATGACACCCTGCTCGGCCTTTCCAGTGACCTCAAGCTGGCCCGCATCCTCATGTGTTCTTCCCTTGTTGTGGGCATGCTGGGAATGCTGGTGGCTATACCTGGACTTTACCTGGTCAACAGCTGTAATAAACACGGAGGCCACCAAACGAAGAAGCGTTTAACCATCATAGGAGGGGTGATGGGAATGATTTCTGGAGTGCTGTGTCTGATCCCCGTGTCCTACATGGCCCATTTAGCCGTGATACATTTCTTTGATGATCAAGTACCGGATGTGGTGCCACGATGGGAGTTTGGTGACGCCCTGTTCTGCGGCTGGGGCGGAGGATTTCTTCTCATAGTGGCCGGGCTCCTTCTGGTCACCTCTTGCTCATGTTCACAGGCAGAGCCTGAGCCCGTGTTGGAGCAGAGATACCAGGGGATGAGTACAGATGTTTCCTTTAGGAAGCGCTCAGAGTACGTTTAAGGGACGTTTCGTAAATGATTTACCTGCATAGAGACAGCACAACACTATCACCTGTAGAATTGCACTCCGAACTGTTTGAAAATAATGATGGAAATATCTGGATTTATATCAAAGACAGCATCTTTTATAAGGGTTGCTTTATGAAAAAATGTTTTGCAAAACAGTGATAATGAGACCTTGTAGAAAACACCACCAAATATGTGTTGCAGTTATTTTTAATGACTCACCTGGACAAGCCAACATTACATTTTCAGAGAACCTGCTGTGATCAGTAAAAATACATATTTTTAATAAAAAGCTTTATATTCCTTACTCATGGTTGGCCTCAGCATTATATCTCTTCTTCTCTGCCAACAAAGAAGAAAATATTATTTCAAGTCTGTTTCATGGAACACGTTAGCTTTTAAAATACTGTGATTGTAAGTTATTCTTGATACTAAAACACAGAGAAAGCACCCATTATCCTGTGCCTGGCTACGTTTGCTTATGTGCTGTATTGTGTATTCACATAAAGAATTATACTGAAGTTCTCTTGAATTTTTAATTTTCTTGTGCTAGTGTTGTATTATGTGTTGGAGTATGCTGAACATGATCATTATTTTTCAGTTTATGTTGATAAAATGAGAAGCCGTGGCCTCAATCTGTAGAAAACAATGAACATGTTATTCTATCATTATGTCAGAGGTGGAAACATGGTCGCTCTCTCGCTCTTTAGCCATCCAGTTTACTATTAGTCACATAAACCTAGAACCTATTTTGGTCTGAAGTGTTCCCTGGTTGCTCTGTAACCAGACGACAAGCTGAGCGGGTGTGGGGGGTGAGGGGGGTTTGGGAACTGAACAGCCGTCTTGGTCCGTCAGGTGTGTCTGCGGTGGTGGAAACACAGCTTGAGACTAATTCCATCAGCTTTACTGGTCACTCGCTGAGCTAAGCTGTGTTTAATGAATGCTCTAATGGGCAGCGTGTACTGTGAAGAATGCAGCACAGGTTGCCCTTGCGGCTCCCGCTTTGACATAATTACACAAATTTGCCAAGGTCAGAGGGCGCTGCTGCTCTCTGTACTCCACAACTGTCGCTATCATTTACATGGACACAGGTACAGTGACATAAATGTGTTATTGCATGGGAGGAGGAGGATTTCTAAACCTCCACATGCTAATAATGATGGTACCTTTTATGTGGTCCGCACTTACAGAATGAAGTTAATGAGAAATAATGATGACAGAATCAAATGTTGCCTAAGGGGCCCAAGACATGACAGACTTTGCTTTTGAGACCATAAAAAGTGGCCCTGTCAGGCCTCACAGAGCGGATTGAGAGGCACCCTCCCATCCTCTGACGCAGGCTGCAGTGAGCTGCCTGGTGTCTCCCAGTGTGAGGGCAGCTATCAGCAGGGGAGGCAGCGAAAACAACTGCATGATGAGATGTTCTTTTGGATTACTGCAGGACTCCAAGTGCTGTGAGGCTGGGGCGGCAACACAAAGGAAATGGCATGCATTATGTTTAAATGCATCCAACTGCAAATAAACAAGCCTGCTTTGAGGGGTTGAGAGGCAGAGTTAATGATCTTTGTGAAATGACTGACTGTAATATGACCCTCTAACAGTTCAGATGGAGATGGGGATTATCCAACCCGCAGTTCAAACTATTATAAGATATGATAGTCAACATGCTGGGAATAACAATTTTGTGAAATCTTACACCACTCAACTCATATTCCATCATGCTCAAGTTGCTACAAACTCACAATTGCCATACCACAACCAATCTGTCTTATCTGAGAGGCAAGGATGAGAACAGAGTAAGAGGAAGATAAGAACCAATATAAGAATATAAAGGTACTGCATTGTATGTGATGGTCCTGTTTTCAATAAAATCCAGCTGTATTATCAGCAAAATGAAACTGAAAGCTTCAAAAGTAAAAGTGCTCACTGTCGCCTGAGGTGGAGCTAGTTTGAATTGCTTTACATCCACTTACATAGTTTAGTCCAGTGGTTCCCAACCTAGGGGTCAGGCCCCTCCAGAGGGTCACAAGATAAATCTGAGGGGTCATGGGCTATTTAATGTGTGAGAGAAGCAGAAAAAACAAGGCTCTACCCTCAAGGTCTTGTGAGCAAACAACATCTCTGGAGGCAATTTATCAGCTGTCCTGAAGCTCTGGAGCCACATACACAACTTTATGTGTACAATTACTCTTTGATTACGCCTCTAATAACTCACAGACATCTGTAACAAGGGGCCCTAACCAGCCACTGCTGTTTTGTAAGGGGTCACAAGCCAAAAAGGTCGGTAACCACTGGATTAATCTCTAACACTGTATTGTGTTTTAAAAGCTTATCTCTATCTGTCTTTTTGTGCAAAATCATCATCTCAAAAGCTACTATACCTTTCAGGTGAATATTGTGGAGTTAAAATGTAATATTCCCTCTGAAATGTAGTACAGTTGAAGTGTAAAGTGTAGCACACAATATAAACAGTCAAACCTGAGTAACTGTATTTACTTTCCACCCCTGGCTGCACATAGAAATGGCACCGGATATAACACATTTGATCAGATCTTGATGTCTGGGGATGATTGCAGGAAACTCTGAAGAAGATAGCAGAAAATATTTGGCTTAATTGCTCATATGCTTTGGGGCTTTACCACCAATCATCTTTCTAGTTTCTAGTAAACTGCAAATAAATTGTCATCGTCGATAAATGGCTTTGTGGTAAAATGCTACATACTTGATGTGACTCGTGTTTTTGATCGTCCTGATCACTTTCATTCCTCTCTCAGAGCCTTCTTGGACAGTGGACCTCCATTAAACATTATAGTTGATAGAGTAGATGACTTAGCATAACAGATTAGATAAATCATATCCAGCTCAGGGCATTATGTCAGGCTTATCTGTAGCGTGGAATGTGCAAGAGAGAGGTGAAGACAGAGGCAAAGCAATGGACAGAGAATTATTTAAATACTTTCTCTCTCATCTAGAGGAATGTTTTTGAATAATATTTAGTTGGTTCTCCTGTTACAGACTACTTGACATGAAGTATGCAGTTTTTGTCTGTTAAGTGGTCCGGGCATGTACACCTTTCATCCACTCCTGGGACTAGTGTTTTTGACAGAATTCTGTGCTCGGATGAAGAAGGCCTTTTGTTCCTCAGCAGAGGTACCGTAGGCCACCGGGCCACAGTTTGTATGCGTGTCTTACTTGGCAACAATCACTACTGTGAGGCGGCCCCCTCTCCCTACTCACATGCCTGCTCTTGTAAGCCTCCTACCCAGGTCACATGAGCAGGGCCCCCCAGTCAACCTGACCCGCTGGGGTCCCTCCTCACGTGGGGACCCCACGTTAGAAGCCTACACCTTGGCATGACATGTCACCTCCCACGGCTTGTGTTGTGATAATGCTGATCAGTCATTATGAGAACGCTCAGACTGCTTCCTCCAAACAGCCCTCTTGGATCACACTGGAGAGATAAATGTTGTAATAAACATCTGCGTCTGTCCCTGAACTCTGGCAACACACATCCAGGATAGCTGAAGTCACTTCACATGAGACACATGGACTGAAAACTGAATCTAGCTGGCATACTGGAGGTTTTATTTAGACAATTACAGCAGGAACTCAAATCTTATAATACAATACAATATATCACAGTGCAGTATTAAATCAGCAATAATCAATATTTTTATATTAATAATGGATGAAATGACTAATGGTATTGAAAAGGTGTTCTGATGTGATAAACCCACATACAATTATCACCAACTTGCAGTTCTGCATAGCTCTGCTGAGCGTTTACTGCCCATTTATATTAGCTAAAGAGCTAACTGAGCAAGAATTAGTTAATATTGTATCATCAATACAGCATTGATCAGGTGGACAGAAAGATGAATCCAAATGAATGCTAGTGTTGCTGCATCTCTGCTGGATGTGTTAACAAGCTTCATAATAAGTTAGCCATATTAACTTACAAAGTGAAAATCTGTTGTTTTTGCTCCGCTGTCCCCAAGTGGCCAAAAAAAATCTGTTATTGGCAGGTTAAAAGATGGATTCTTATGTACTTCACTAGCTCCCTACAGGGCTACGTTTTTCTCAAGGTAAACCGGTTTGATTCTTTCTGCTGTAAGTAGGCCTACATTTCTGAACTTCTCTGCATGGTCTTGTGTGACTTGTGATGAATAAGGAGTGCTCTTTAAAATGGCATTTGAATGTCACATTGTCAGTGCTTCTTTAAATCAGAATATTAATCTATTTAGTAGTTAAAGCAAGCTTTTGTTTATGTTGAAGTTAAGTGGGTCTAAATGAATCCTTGACAGTTGTGATGCTTTATTTTGATGTGCTGTCCTATATTCATGTGTAGCAGTGTTTCCGGTAAGATAACATGGCAAACATTCCACTACAAAGGCCAACTAAATTTTGTGATTCAGCAACACTGTGCTTCATGTGGAACTTTTCTGCTTTGAAATCTTCCTACAGATGAAAAAGGTGAAAATCCCGCATTGCAAGTTAGTACCCTGTTCCTTACACTAGGTTGTTCCATCATGGGATGTCTTCACTGTGAAATGTAGGATTGTCTCTGCCGTGGTTGTCTCCATTTGGCAATTCACACTTCTGTGCCAGGGCCCCTTCTGTCCAGATACCGTGGCACGGATCCCTGGTGTCCCTGGGGGAGTCTGAGCTCAGGGCCTGCCAGGCGTAGCGGTAACACAGGAAATGCAGCCCGCTTATGAGCATCAGAATGGAGGCAATGATACCCACTCCGATGGCCGAACCAACTTGCTGTCTGACGGGAGCTGCGGGGAGGTGGAACTCAGGAGGAAAGTCTATGGTGCTGTTGTTCATCACAGAGCTCATGTTCCACACCAGGGGCACCAAGCAGAACATCCCCGTCAGCACATACAGGGTCCCTGCCAGCACGAAGACCAGCCTTATGTTCCTACGATCCGCTACAGAGAAGTAGACCATCCTCATGGCCACTGCACCGCTGATGTTCCCAGCCAGGCCGCAGATCACCGCCAGCATCATCAGCACCTGAGCCGCAGGGATCTCTGCAGGAGCAAAGTGGTCCCAGATGCTGATGCTCTGACAGTTCTCCATTATGGGAAGGGTGTGACTGTAGAAGCACGCCTTCCAGATACCCACCCAGGCCACGCCCGAGGTGATCACAGACACATCGGCCACGTGCCACAGCCGCCACTCGTTGAGGCCGGCTGTGGTCATGGTGAGGATCCACGCCAGGACCCCAGCCATCAGGCCCAGGAACTGCCAGTGAGCCGTGTGGGCCAGGTAAATCATCCTGCCCAGTGACAGTGACTCGAAGGTCTAGGGAGGCCGGTCGCTGACTCACACGATGTTGAGTTCATACAGTGTGACGTCCATCATGCCTGCTAAAAACACAAAAACCCACAACTGTGTTAAAACGGCTAAAGTTCTCAGAAGTGTGCTTAGTATATCCACATTAACATTCTGGTATTATCTTCATTTTGTTTTTGTACGCACTGTTAAAAATTCACTGTATAAATTATGAAAACTTGGAATATGATAGTTAATGTTCTATGTATGTCTATGGTGTGTTCTGGCAAAGCTACTCTATGATGCTCCTCAAAATAAGGGTCAGTTCACCCAAATGACCCCCCAAAAAAACATGTTTTCTGACATACCCAGTAATACCCAGTAGTTAGTGGGATATTTCTTTCATTCTTTTTTCATTTCGAACAAAAATAAAAAATAAAATATGACAATACGATAAGTAGATTACGATATACAAAAGGAAAATGTTATAAACAATATGTGTAATATGTCTGAAAAGAAACGGGCAAAGCAGAAGCTTGTTATTTTTCCCACCACTTATTTAACTCTAAATAGTTCCTGTTTATTTTATAAATTTTCCATATATCATTGTGTATTATGGATTCATAGCAAGATAACAAATATACAGTAATGATGTATACATTTTTTTACATTTAAGACCAAACAAACCATCACCCTGTTAGGTTTTCACCCATCCCATTACAGTCAGTATATCTCTATGTTTGTGCAATGTTTTAGCACTGGCTCCAAACTATCTAATCTCCAATCTAGCTATGTAGATCATTTTTACGAGGGTTTGAGATAACCTCCTCAGACATTTTGTCCAATACATTGGAGGCGAAGAAAAAGATGAGAATCAGTCGTCTTTTTCAGTGGAACCACTTTCTCTTAAAGAAATGGTGCCTATGAAAAACCATTTGTACTAATCCTTCAAGGTTTATTCAGGTAGATGAATAAATGAAATGCAGATATTGTCTGGAAATGAGAGGTACTTAAAGGCCGCATTAACCTACCGAACCTAAACCTTAATTAATCAAATTATCAATCCTCAATGACACACAGTGAACATGAGGCTTTTCGAGGCCCCTGGGGATTTTGGGCTCGGGGAAGTTGCCTGCTTTGCCTGGTTGGCAATAATCAGTATTTTATATTTATTCATGTAAACTTAAATATTACAAACTGAAATATTAAAAATAGACACCCACTCAGTTCATCAAAGACAGTTGCAATATGTTAGTATCTGAAATATTCTGTGGTAGGTAAACACTAAACTTGTCAACATGTAACAATAGGTGATTAATAAATCAAGTTTACCATGAAGACCACGTGTATTGTAACTGTATTTAAGTATACATTAATTAACACTCAGATTTATTACCATGGAGGAAGATCTTGGACCACAAAGATTAAATCCACCTGCACTAATTTTGTCTGCCTGGTCGAAACATTTTAAGGGTTATTTTGGAGTTCTGTCTCAGGCCTCCTTTGACACAAGGTAGTAAAACAGCGTAGCCTTTGAGCAATTTTATTATTCCACCTTTATATTCTACGTTTCTCCTACATTATCACAAATATAAACAAACAGTGTGACATTATAACATCTTCAAATATGTTAAGGAAAAAGCAATTACCGTAGCAAGTTTTGATACATCCATCAATACTATCCCAGATGGAGATTCAATTGTTAATCAATTATTTTGAGAATTAGAATAAAAGTCCTCAAGGTTGCACTGGAAGTGACAAGAAAGCTCCTTTTCTAGTAACTGTAGGTTCAGTCTGTTCAAGCATTAGTGTAGTTAATGATTGTCCATTTAAATCTTTGCATGTTACGCAGACCAATAAAACAAATCCTCTGCAACGTCTTTTTCCTCACCTTAATGCGTCTAAAGTTCTGATTTGTTGATCTCCACATGCACAGAATCCTTCCACAGAAGCTGTATTCACCACACGAGAATGAATCGGAGTGAAGGCCCACATTTTGTTTCGGTTATGCGAGAGGATAAATGTAACACCTGGCTGTCAAAAGATCTTCCTTGCCATGTCAAAGTCTTTATCTTCCACATTATCACTAGAGCGGAGGGCGTAGTGAAGTTAATGAATGACAGCGAAGAAAATCAAACAAACAACTCCTGCGTGATTCCAGCAGACTCTTTATTTAATATAAAGGAGCACATCTGAAGTGTTAAGAGTCAGGATGTAGCAGTGCATGAAGTGTGTGAAACTAATATTCTCAAATGTGCAGAACAAACATCCTCTAACAGGGTTCACCCTTTGGGAGACTGAGTCAATCCTTACAGTCTGAAATTCAGTTCAAACTGGTCAAAATGCTTTGCAGTGATTTAGTTCCATATTTGGTTGCAAAACAATCAACCTGAACAACTTTTAGAGTTGAAATTTAACAGTGAGTCAAGTAACAACTGTGGTAACTATGCATTCAACATTTGCACCATGAATAAGACAAAAGACAGAAACACTTGGTCATTTTATACGTGGCAATATCATAATCTAAACAGGTTTTTTTCCGGCTGTGAATAAAACAGAACAGCACTGACAGATGCAACGTGTGGAAGTGGATTAAAAGACCCGACAGTATTGGCGGTGACACGGGTGACTCCCCAGGCACTTCAATGTGGATTTCACTTGAGTTAAAGTCTGGATTTGAAGTGCTACAGTTCTTTTGTTTAGTGAAGTCGAACAAGTGCTCTTTAAAATGACCAGTATCTGCACAGGTACTTTACACTAGCATCAGTGAGGAAAGAGAGAGCACAAAAGTCTCAGTAAAAGGCCACTAGTTTATGTATAAACGTTAACAAAAACGGTTGCTTTTAGTGAAATATTCGGCCAGTTTTGCTGGATTATGTGAAAACGTGTTGACTGTTAAATTACTTAAGTGAAATGAAACATGATAAATACTCCTAGTTGCTCAGCGTGTGAAACACACATCAGGTAGCGTGGCTGCTCAAATCAGTTGAAGATAAAATACTGTCCCCTTCTGCGCAGATTCAAAAGGCTATAATAAATTACTAAAAAACATAAAAATAAAAACAAAGCAAACGTGGCATGAAAGACATTAGATACAGTGGTTAATGCCAAGAAAAGCAGCATCTTTCACAAGGGAGTTCCTTATGGATGCTGTCAGTCCAAGTGGTGTTACGGCAGTCCGGTTGAGAAGATGTGAAGTGGTAAGACATGCTTGGATGAGGCTTCACCAAAGACGTGAAAAAAACCCCAAAAGACTCTCTCTGCAGATTCCTTGTCTCTGTGTCCCTCTGTTGGACACAGGGCTCAACTGCAACTTGGGGCGATTTTAGTCTTCATCATCAGTTCCTCAGTGTTCAACATCTTCACAGGGCCAGCCTCTGCTCTATCGGCAGACTGTCCATCAGACACTTGAGCTGCTCCTCGCCCAGTTTGATTTTATCCTCAAGCTTGCGCTGCTCGATGATGAGCGCCGACTTCATCTTGACAAAGTGCTCATAGTCAGTAAGGCTGTCCTCCTGCAGGTAGCTGGACAGGATGTCGTAAACCACACGCTCCCGACGGTCCAGGTTCTCCTTCAGTTCCTTCGCATCCTCATGCTGTCGAATCAGCAGCTTCCTCTTCTCAATCAACGTTCGCTGTAGATGAAAGAAACATTAGGAGTTGAGAAGATACATCAAGTCTCTTTTTCTCTTTTGGTGTGGTGTTAGGAAACAGAGCAATATTCAACTCACCCTCTCCTCAGCAGTAGCATCCTCCTCCAGACTGTTGAGGGCGTTCTCCACTCTGGCCAGACGGCCCGACAGGGACAGCAGCAGGCTCACCACCTTGTCCAGGTCCCCGACAAACATCCTGAACTTGTCCAGCTCGTTGGGTTTGCAGATCTGTTGGACTCGGGCCTCCACCTCATCTCCCAGAGCGTTGTTGTCGAGGACATCTTCCTGAAGACTCTCCCGGGCCTCCCGCAGCACCTGGAGCTTCTTGCTAAGGCTGTCAATCAGCTCTTGCTGCAGATGGGCATAAAAAGAAACAGAAGATACTAAATCAAAACTTAAAAAGGTAACCTGTGTATTAGGTGATGAGGTTAAAGGAAACAGACCTTTAACCTCATCTTTACTCCAAGATTCCCCTTGGTTCATTTTGTTCTGCTAATACCCATGAACGGTTCAGCAAGAGAACAGTACCTTCTTGTTGGCCAGATCAATATCCAGTTCATCTTCTGAGTCCTCCTCCTCCTCCTGCTCCTGCATGTCCTTCATCTTAATAAGGAGCTCGGCTTTGGGAGCAGATGTGCTGTAATATGTAGAGCTGGTAACCATGGTGACAGCTGCAGCCATACTGTCCTCCTTTTCCCTGAAATACAAGTAAGAAATACTGTTTCAAACCAACCAAATAAGAATACACAGGTTACCTTTTGTCAAAAGAGCCAACGGGCCTCATGCAAAAATCACTCATACGAACACATTTGCTCAGTTCATCCTATTTTAACTATTTTACATTGATCCGTTACTTGAAGATGAATATTTCGACTTCTCTGTTAGCTTGTTAACTAGTTTTCCTTCACACTTATTCTTTTCTCTAAAACCAATATGCCATGAACCACTTTGCTTCAGTAAGACATTTTTTAGGTCAAACAATTCCAGATGGCATGTTGTTGTAGCTGTATTAAAATTTTCAGTTCACCAAATACAACTACTGACACTGTTAAATTTGTCTGCTGATTTCTACAGCAGGACTTGACACTCTCACTATTCTTCTTTTTACTTCCGGTAACATTTTTATGAAAAAAAAAAAAAGTGTCCACAAAAGGAAGAACAAGAAGATCTTGGGTAGCAATTATGGTGCGCCAACTATGCTAATCTAATGAACACGCACCTCCTTATGAACAGGTATTCACCTGGTTGAGACAAGCAATTTTATGGAAGTTTGTGCAGTTAAAGAGAATTTGATGAATCAGACGTAAAAAAAAATGTGCGTGCACTCAAATATTGCGCAAGTCGTGTATATGAACTCACACAGATGACTAAGTGTGACAGAGCTAACGATTTTTCAGGAGTTATTGTATGTCAACAAACTGCTGAGAGAAAATGCACATTCTGTAGGTCAAACAAGGTAAGGTACAAATGAAATGTGTCTTGAACAAGGCACTTGGCTGCATGTAAGAAAGATCTAAACATGGCCATCTCTCAGGCCCAGTGCGGAAGCAAAAGGGCGAGGCTGACCTTTCCTCAGCAGGCCGGGTGGCTGTCTGTTTTGTGGGAACCTTCCTGCGCTGGTGAGCTCCTTCCAACAGCTGCTCCCCCTGAGGGAAGATGCCCTCCATCAAGTCCATGGTGGTTTTCATCTTGCTCTGGTCCAGAATGTCAGCTAGTGATTTATCCTTCCCCATGATGTCCCTGGCCAGCTCCTCTCTCTTCTGATCCTCCTTAGACAGTCCTGTGGTCACATCTGTGGGCTGTGGTGGCTGCTGACTGTTAGAGTTGACCTGATCTTGAACAGTACTCATGTACGCGTCTCTCTGGGGCTTTGGGTCCGTCTGTACAGCTGGCGTACTTTCGGGCTCCCGCTGCCGATTAAAGGCACAGAAGACCGAGTCCTGCCCTCCAGCTCCCAGAATGCCGAGCCTGGTCGCACCAGGACCCTCTGTCTCTACAGCAGGGAAGTCACTGTGCTGCAAAAATGGACAATTCTCCTTCTCTGTGACTCCCTCTGAGTGGACAATCCTGATGGGCACTTTCTTCACTGCAGGATTCTGGTTTTCTATCACATGCTCCATCCTGAGAAAGATAGAAATAATCTTATAAATAGAAAGTTTCTCTCTGAAAGGAGGAGAAAATCTCCTGTTGTAGTTATTCCAGCCATTTGATGATTTAAAGTTTCTCTGCATGATGGCAACTGAGATTTTTTCCATGCCCAGTACACTGGAATATCCAAGACATCTGGACTCCTCCCAGCACTCTGCTAGCTGCAATAATCCTACTGTACAGTCATAAGTTCACTACAGATGATACCACTTAATTCTGAATCGAGAAGATGAACAATAGGGGCTTTTAGAGTACATCTTCCATTTTCGTCATTTCTTTAAATGCCTGTGGCTTTTAAAGAAATGTGGAGAATCCCTCCAATTTACTGTGGCTTGACAGCGCTCACACGTTGATTCTACAGTGGCCGTGACTCTCAATAAGCTCCTTTGTACATGTAGCAGAAAGACACGATAAGTAATTTAGTTAAAAAGACTGTGTTCTGACTAAACTGGGCGAGAGTTTAACAGTAGCATCAAAACTATGCTCTTATGAATTAGTCTCCCTTCTGATTAAGCAAAAAAGGTTTACCTTTTTGAGTCTTCATCCTGTATGGAGACCGGTGGTTTGTCACTGAGTCTCTGTGGGGAGAACTGTGGCGATGGAGAGCGCTGCCGCTCCATAGTGGCCGGCCCTGAAGATCTGTGGGAGGAAGCTGGGGGAGAAGAGGCAGGCTGGGGATTGGATGTTGATAGGTGATGATCTGCCCCTTGTCCTTTGTCCACAAGTCCTTTGCCCTGCTCAGAATTTCCCTTTGCAGATAGGGTGGGGACAAAGGCGGAGTTAGGGTCAGCGTTAGGAGAGCAGTGGGTGAAGATTTCACTCTGGGAACTCGTGAAGGATTCGTGGGAGTCGACCTCTGGGCATCTGAGTGGGGGAGGCTTCTCCAGCGCATAGGTCGTCCCCCTTGGCCCAGAGGGTGGTTCACTGTGGCTGTGGTCCTTAGGCTGTGGGAGGGCAGACTCTGTGAGACTATGAGAGATAGATGTGGGTCTGTGGTTCACCGTGGCAGGGGCAGGTCTGTGTCTGCACTCAGGGTTGGTTCCTATCATGGGCGGAAGGGGTGGCGCCGAGTAGTGTTCAAACTCCACAGGCTTTTCTCTAACTTTACAGTCACCGGGTCCTCTGTCAGAGAACCTGAGGAACACAATAGAAAGCTTTTAATTACACACTGTTCAACAGCCAGGCAGCATGGGCTATCATCTGCAGCTCAATCAAATAATACACTGTGGCAGAGGCCTTGTTCGTCTCTCCAGCAGCCACTATGATTATGCCAGCATGACAAGACACACGTCTCCCTCTCTTCTGCAAGCCTCCTCCCTGGTTACTGTTCAGCTGGCAGCCTGAAGAGGAATATTTCAGTTCCCACAAGTCAGCATAGAGGAATAAATAATCCTCCAGTGCAAAGAAGCAAGACCGGATCGCTTTTTCCTGCCTGATTCACATTTACAGTTTTAACTCTTTACAGGTAAAGTTAAAGATAGAAGAGGGACAATATTTGGAGCTGACAGAAATCATTAGAGGCCTGATTGGGAACTAAAGGAGTTCAAGTGATTGTATACTAAAATTTTAACCAGTATGCAGTACAACACGGTGGATGTCGCCTATATTGTAAAGGCATGCAAACCCACCAAATACTATGGTTTCACGATAACAGATTACATTTCCATGGCGTGCTCTGATACAAATTCAATTAGGAGTAATCAGACAAAATTAACACATAAACCACGCAGCTCTGATTAAGGACAAAACTGTATTAACTCTGCAGTCACAAGATACAGTTTGGTGACTTTTAGACAGACAGACGCCATTAACCCAAACCTCCCAATTGGAATTCTACATGCTGTAACAAGTTACCCAATGAACAATTGTTGTCACAGCTTACACCCTCCCTCATGCCTCAGCTCTGCAGTGTGAGAAAGTTACCTCACAGAAACATGACACATGATACCAGTAATATTTCTGCAGGAACTGCAGGGATATGAGTGGTGGGAAGGATATGGAGTTATGTTGCCATGATGTAGGTTTTCAACCAATGACGCATATTGGCGTCATTGACGTAAGAACATATTATTTAGGGCAGTAGAGATTCACAACAACCAAAGAAACACAGTTACGTGTCTATATGACAAAGCATTGTTGCCCATCAAAGGTGACTTTTTTCTCTGATTTTTTCACTGTGTAAACACTACTGCACTATATACAGTGGGTACGGAAAGTATTCAGACCCCTTTAAATTTTCCACTCTTTGTTTCATTGCAGCCATTTTCCAAAAATCAAAAAAGTTCATTTTATTTCTCAGTAATGTACACTCAGCGCCCCATCTTGACAGAAAAAAACAGAAATGTAGAAATTTTTGCAAATTTATTAAAAAAGAAAAACTGAAAAAACACATGGTCATAAGTACTCAGACCCTTTGCCGTGACACTCATATTTAACTCAGGTGCTGTCTATTTCTTCTGATCATCCTTGAGATGGTTCTACACCTTCATTTGAGTCCAGCTGTGTTTGATTATACTGATTGGACTTGATTAGGAAAGCCACACACCTGTCTATATAAGACCTTACAGCTCACAGTGCATGTCAGAGCAAATGAGAATCATGAGGTCAAAGGAACTGCCTGAAGAGCTCAGAGACAGAATTGTGGCAAGGCACAGATCTGGCCAAGGTTACAAAAAAATTTCTGCTGCACTTAAGGTTCCTAAGAGCACAGTGGCCTCCATAATCCTCAAATGGAAGACGTTTGGGACGACCAGAACCCTTCCTAGAGCTGGCCGTCCGGCCAAACTGAGCTATCGGGGGAGAAGAGCCTTGGTGAGAGAGGTAAAGAAGAACCCAAAGGTCACTGTGGCTGAACTCCAGAGATGCAGTCGGGAGATGGGAGAAAGTTGTAGTAAGTCAACCATCACTGTAGCAATCCACCAGTCGGGGCTTTATGGCAGAGTGGCCCGACGGAAGCCTCTCCTCAGTGCAAGACACATGAAAGCCCGCATGGAGTTTGCTAAAAAACACCTGAAGGACTCCAAGATGGTGATAAATAAGATCCTCTGGTCTGATGAGACCAAGATAGAACTTTTTGGCCTTAATTCTAAGCGGTATGTGTGGAGAACACCAGGCACTGCTCATCACCTGTCCAATACAGTCTCAACAGTGAAGCATGGTGGTGGCAGCATCATGCTGTGGGGGTGTTTTTCAGCTGCAGGGACAGGACGACTGGTTGCAATCGAGGGAAAGATGAATGCGGCCAAGTACAGGGATATCCTGGATGAAAACCTTTTCCAGAGTGCTCTGGACCTCAGACTGGGCCGAAGGTTTACCTTCCAACAAGACAATGACCCTAAGCACACCGCTAAAATAACGAAGGAGTGGCTTCACAACAACTCCGTGGCTGTTCTTGAATGGCCCAGCCAGAGCCCTGACTTAAACCCAATTGAGCATCTCTGGAGAGACCTGAAAATGGCTGTCCACCAACGTTTACCATCCAACCTGACAGAACTGGAGAGGATCTGCAAGGAGGAATGGCAGAGGATACCCAAATCCAGATGTGAAAAACTTGTTGCATCTTTCCCAAAACGACTCATGGCTGTATTAGATCAAAAGGGTGCTTCTACTAAATACTGAGCAAAGGGTCTGAATACTTATGACCATGTGATATTTCAGTTTTTCTTTTTTAATAAATTTGCTGTCAAGATGGGGTGCTGAGTGTACATTACTGAGAAATAAAATGAACTTTTTTGATTTTTGGAAAATGGCTGCAATGAAACAAAGAGTGAAAAATTTAAAGGGGTCTGAATACTTTCCGTACCCACTGTACTTTGTAAAATAGGAGACAAGAAATAAATTCTTGTTGTTTTCTGTCTTTATAAATATAAAGCCACGGTAGCATTAGCTACAGTATAGGTAGACTAGGATCAAATACAGCATATTTCCATACTTGCAAAAAAGCAAAGAATGCACAAACTCACCCTATTTGACGTGTTACTGCTGTCATTTCCGTAGACGAGAAGTAAAAGTGAGCGTGTCTGCTGGCTCACTGTGACAGAGGCCACCTGTCGGTATCTCTTTACACTTATATCAATAACACTATCTGGGTGGAGCATGCTTTACTTATGATCTCATCTCAGCTTTCCATACAGCTCAGCTCACAGACCTTTCACTGACAATAACATCCTCTGTAATTCACAGACAATAACATCCTCTTGTAATGCAAATGCAGTGTCAGATGGTGTGGCTCCAACAATGAAGTTGCTCAAGACAAGATACTCTACACCCTTTAGTGAGTTTCACCTGTGAGAGTTTAGTGGTTACAAACCATGAAGTCATCTTGATCACGTCACTACACGTAGCTTAAAATTGATTCTAAGTAAGGGGAGCAAAGGAGAATAATGTTTCAAAAATATTGGACACCACTACAAACTGGCATTAGGAAAAGAAAATGCATAGATCAAATACACGCATTACTGCATCAACCTCCATTACAAAGCATGACACTCCTCCAGAGCCATAGAAGACAATAAACTATTACAATTATTTTCTCAGCCAGGAAAAGCATATGACTGGACACTGCTAGCTTCCACAGAATGGCTGAATAGTGGAAAAATGCTAAATTATTTAAGGACTAGTTAAGCAAGCTGAACAGGCACAACAGGAGAGATTAACCTCAAACAACAAGACTTCAATGTTTTCATATGGCAGGAGTTCATAAGGAATCATCGAATGATCACATTAAGTCATCAACGTTACCTGTAAACACTTCCACCCTGCCCGAAAAACAAACAGTTACTTAGGAGGGAGGTTTAATCCAATGTGATCAAAACAATGTAAACAGAATGTATTTCTTGTTCACCATCTTAGCTTAGCGTGTCAGCACTCTAACATTTGCTAATTAGGTATTTGGTCATAAACAAAGGTTTTGAATCAAAATCTTGATGGTGCTGGATAAAAACCTTTGGGATCACCTCTTTTCCAAATCCAGTCAGTAGTTGTCAAGATATTTCACTCAAAACCACAAATGTGAACCTTATGGTGGCGCTAGAGAAAAAGTCAGAGGATCACCAAAGCCTTCACCCTCTGGGGACTGTGAATATCTGTTACACAACTTCATCATGACAACTCATCCAGTGGTTGTTGAGATATTTCAGTTTAGAAGTGGTGGTTCCATCAAAAAGACCAACACTGTTATCCATTAGAGCTGCAACGATTTATTGATTTGTTGTCAACTATTAAATACATTTTCAATGAATCACGATTTAATCAAATATACTATTTTGATAATCGAATAATTGGTTTGAATAATTTTTAAATGAAATTTTTTTCCCACTTCTTCACTCTGTGACAGTAAACTAAATTTTTTTGGCTTGTGAATAAAACAAGACATTTGAGGACATCATCTTGGGATTTGGAAAACAGTGATCAGCATTTTTCACCATTTTTTTATGCCATTTTATTGACCAAAAAACAAATCAGTTAATCATGAAAATAATCATTAGTTGCAGCCCTACCATCCATAAATATCCCAATTATGCAAAGTAACTTAGATCTTATTGAAGATAATTTCATGCCTTCGGGCTGGCCCCCTGAACTCGGGTCACCATTACATTCTGATGCAGAAACACTTCCTCACTGTCCCAGTCATGGTCAAATGCCTCGCCTACACTAGTAAACCTCCACTAAATGACACAAAGCACAGCCAGAGAGACAGCTTATGTTGTCACAGCTGCACCCAAGGCAGTGCCACTGGTATGTCACGACAGATTATAAAGACTTCACTGTTCCTCTACAAACTTACTGCCTGCTTTCACTGATAAAGCTCAGGAATAGAAAAATAATAAAATATCACACTAAATATGCTAAAAGAGCAAAATAATAAATACAGAAGTTAACGACGGTCAAATAGAGCACTGTCAATTATAGTGTTTTATATCAATTATGTGCTCAGTAGTGATAAATAATAGTTTCCTCCCGAGGTGATCACTTAAGATTACCCAAGAAGCAATCCCTTGAGTAAAATATTAAATACAAAAACACTGATATTTTTGTTTTTTCATGCTATACTGCATACTAGAGACAGAAAAATAGCCCCACTGTTAAAGACACTGGTGTCCTAGCAGGTAACATTAAATGAAATGCACTCACCCTGTGGCAGTGTTGAACGGTTCAGCAGGTTTACTCTCCGCCTGGGAATATTCTGTCTCAGACTTTCTTGCAGGAACTTGAATCTTCTGTAAATAAAGTTGAACACAATGTCCATTATGCAAAACCATCCAAACAGTTCACAAAGAAAGAGCCCGCCAACAAAGTTTTTGTCTTTTGTTAATTATCCCAGCTAACTCATGCTGCAGCTTCCTGGTTTTTCAACAGTAGTGAAAAAAAAAAAATTGATGCCCCTCTCCATTCCTTAGGCCGAGGGTGTGTCAATATGAACAAACATGGATTAATATTTGACTTGACTCTTTCCTTTGTTCCTTTCACTTCACTCTGTTTGTCTTAATGAGATGTAAAGCCACCTCGAGGGCTTCATAAAGTTGCAACATTTAAGTGACTAAAACCAAGTTACAACTAAGAGACCATCATTCCATTAAAATGTTTGTTCAAAACACTTGGAGATCAGGGACAGTCAGACTTTGTGCCTCACCTGCCCATAGAAGTCAGCTGAAGGAGACGATCGGGATCTCTCATGGAAACCAGTGGTTTTGGTTCTCTCCTCTGGTCCTGGATCCAGGATGTTATCAGCTGACCGATACCGTCCAGAGGCTCTTGTTTCTGGGTTTTTCTTCTGTACATTCCACCTTGCCTCATACTCAGGGAAGGTACCCAGTATTTGCTGGTCCAGGAGAGACAGCTTGTGTGCAGAGCAAGGACCTCCCTGGACCTCTTCAGTGTATTCTCTGCTCCTGATGCCTTTCACTGTGTCCTCTGTTTCACCGGTTGTAGAAGGAGCTCCGGCCTTGGCCTCTGTGTGGTTCTCGGGATAGTCCTGAGGGGGAATTTGATTGGGAAAAGCGGGTTTTCTACTTTCTTTAAACAGCCTCTGTTGGTCTAGAGAGGAGCTTGCATTCTCAATGCGAGGGAGATCTTCCTTCACCCCAACTTCATGGATTTTGTCTGGTTCTGAAAAAGATCGTACCTTCTTTTCTGCAGGAAAACGCTTTCGACCACCAATGCGAGTTACTTGACCCCCAGCAGGCCCTGATTTAGTCATTACAGACTCTGAGAAAATTGGCAGAGGGGTTATATCTTTATGGGCCACTGCTGGGGATGGGTAGTGAGGTAGGGCCTCTGCCGCAGGGTGCTCTAGTAAGACAGGCTCCAGGTCTTTTCTCCTGAAAGACGTAGCCATGAGCACCCTTGCTTGTGCTTCCTTCAGATTAACCTTGTAGATGTTGGTGAAAGAGCCATCTGCAGAGGTTGGGGTAGTGTTTTCAGGAGACTTCCAGATATCTTGATCATCTTCAGTCTCACCCTCGGTACCAGGAAGGGTAGCTGCACTCTTACTTTTCTGCAGCTTGGCTCGTCTCATCTGGATTTCATTCCTTAACGTGGTGGCAAAGCGGTCACTGCGTTTCACCTGCTTGCTTTCAAGGGACTCCTCAGAATTTGGGCCTCTTGCGTCTTGGCCTGCAACATCCATAGACAGAGAGTGAAGCATGGGGGTTGCCTGGGGGCAGATCTTGTTGCTCACTTGGTTGTGGTGTCTGGTGTCTTGAGGTAAATCTCTATGTTGTAGTGGCAGAGACCTCCGCTGTTCAGACTGTCCACTAGGAGGATAACTCATGAACTGAGCTTCTGCACTTTGTGTGTTGTGTCCTCTCTGGCTTCCCCTATCATCAGAGCTGGATTTAGGTACAGAGGTTTCTAGTACAGCAGGAACTTGGTGCTTGCTGTATCCATTACTGTCTTTTCTGTGTGAGGAGTGTTGCTGCTGTTGGGGCAGATGATACTTCAGTTTGGTGAGTGGGCTAAGAGAGTTCTGCTCATTTCCAGACTGTGATAGGTCTACGCCTGTGACACTCTTCCTATCCTCTGATTTCCCTGACAAAGGCTGGTGGTTAGGTTGCGTGGGCTGACATGTTGTGACACAGTAGTATCGGTTATGTCCACTGCTATCTGTGTTTTGGTCAGTGGCTGCGGTAGACAGGGAGGTGCTTAAGTTCCTTCTATGGCTCTGACCAAAGTGTTGTGCAGAACCATTCGTAGGCAGTTCCTGCATGCTACAATAGTAGCCAACTACGTTCTGTGGCTTTGGAACGGGCGTAGTATAGGGCTGAGAATAAAAAGTGCTTTTGTCACTATACTGTCTTTGATGGTAGGGCTGACCTTGCCGAACATCACAGCTGGACAGGGAGTACTGCTTGTTTGAGCTGAACTGGTTGTGATTCGATTTATCAGATGAAGTGTAAAAAACGTCACCGTCACTTTTCGGGGATAGGTTGTGGATTTGGTGATTTTCTGTGGAAGGCTTACAGGGGACATGTGATTCAGGACCTTCGGGGTGAGCTGCAACAAGCCCCCTTTCATGTACCTTAGTAGCAGCAAAACTGTCACTGCGTGCAGGTGGAGGTGGAGGGGGAGGAGAGGGGGAAGCGGTCTTCTTTTTTTCAGGGACATGCCAAACAGGTCCATAGCTTGTTCTACTTGAAGTGGAATAGTGGGATCCAGCTGAGTCCTCAGTCTGTGGACCCTCGCAGCCTGTGCTAACTCCTGGCATCTGGAAGTACGCCAGCCTATCGTCCAGTTTGACTCCCTCATTTAGGCTCTGGCTGTTTCTGCCATTGTTGTGCTTTCCTCCTGTCTCCCCCTGACTGAATTTATAGAGCATGTTCTCTGTCGAGGCAGCATTGCTCTTTGAGAGGGTATAGTCTGGTGTGCCAGAGCTGGTGGAGAAGGAGCTGTAGGCTGAGTCTCGTTTCCCTCCTCCAAGATGCTCCATACTGTTATTGGACTTGGCAGGTGACAGCTGACTGGCAGGGTAGGAGTGCGAGACGTGTTCTAGACTGTCCATACTGCCGAGAGAGCTGTACTGATCGGACACTCTGCGCAGGTTTGTCTGCTCCCAGCCGGAGGAGAGATCAGTTGAGGATGAGCTGGAGGTTAAAGCAAAGGACCAAGTGTGAAAATACAAACAACAGCAACCAGTTTTTTTCCCTGCAAAAACAGCCTTGTATCTAAAGAGTGCTGTTAATCAAGTTATGAATTATGATTACAAATTATTATTATGGCCGTCACATTTAGATCCAATAAACTGTCCGCTTTTTAGCCACTGGAGAATACAGCAACATTAACAAAGACAGCTTAAACACAGCCTATTAAATATAGGTCTCTCTACTAAGAATTCACCATTTTATGTTTCTAGAAGGTTATAGCATTGTCAATCAAATTAACCTTTACCATCTGAGAAAATCACAATATCTTTAGATTTTGTTGGAAAAAGTCTTGCAGAATGACAACTCAACTCCATGTAAAAACTTTAAAAAATGTTTTTTTATTGGCAGAACAGTTCGATTGTGTCTGTAGTAGAACAACGCAGATATCTAACATTGAGACTCAAAAAGGCAAACTTCAAGATCCAAGAGTTACCTTGCATCATATCTGGTTTGCCAGACTGGCGTGGGCGGAGACTGTGTTTTGGCAGTCTCCGATTGGCTTTCGTTGAACTTGGTGGAGTGCCAGGAGTGAGGCCTGCTTATGGGTTCATTCCGCCTGCAGAGAGGGCAAAAAAAAAAAAAAAAAAATACACAGACTGAATTAGAGCCCAGCCCCTTATGGAAAACAGTATGTGCTTGCAATAGCTACCACTGCAGCTCAACAAGTAAAACATTTACTTGTTGAGCTGCATCTATATCAAGGCAGTGATTTGCAACATTTTTGATTTACTCCAACATTCACAGACAGAAAGTGTTTTAGATGGTCTCTGTTTAATCAAAAACATACCCTTTAAAGCGATTCTTTCTGAATTGCATGTCAGGAAAAGGCAAACAGAACATATCATCATAAAATGACATACACCCAAATACAATTTAATTTCCTTATTAATATAGACACAACACATGTACATGTCATGGACAGACAGTGTATTGCATGCTGTACAAATGGAACACAAGATAATCCAAAGAGACATGCCAATGGGTGCAGGTAATAAACCACAGGAAAGGGAGAGTCGCTACGAGAGGAATGAGGATGATATTACTACTAGACGAATGATTAACATGATTATGGGTACAGGAAGTGGAAAAAAGGGAATAGGCACTACTGATTACGATGAAGCTACAGAACCGTACCTCATGGAACTTCGCAAAATCTTCGTAAGAAAGCTTCTTGCCACATGCACGTCATTCTCTGAGGGCATTTTCTGAGTTACAATATCCACCATTTTCATATTCCTGGGCAGCAGGGGGGAGGAACACACACACTAAGAGCTCACCAACAATTGACTGGACTCAGTAGAAGACAGGACAAAGACCATCTGACATTTAGACCGTTGGTTCTGATTGCTGAAAGTTTGTGCACACTGTAGTACTGCAGAAAACTCAGTGTCGCAAAAGCTCACTAGGACAAAAGTTCCTTAAATTACTTCTGATCCAACTGAAGTATCACACACTGTTCAAATCCCAGGACAGTAATATGTACTATAGAAGTGTAAATGTCTGCTGATACATGGTATTATAGCCCCCTCTCCTGGTCAAACTCATGCATGCTCATGATGTCACACTTTTGAGTGTCATCGAAGTTGAGAAATATTGAGAAAACCCCTGTATGATGGAACTCCAACACAGAAGTCAATACCAGAGTGAAACAGACGCCGTTTTACTCATCTCTCATTAGGCACATTATAGAAACAGTACGTAGCTGAGGTGAGCTGGTTGTGCTCAGACTTTGCCATATGGTCCCAGGGGGAACACAAGCCCAGCATGGGGCAGAGGGCTTAACAGAATAGAGAATCTCTTACACAATCAGATCAGCCACCATCACCCCTCAATCCAAGCTGTCGTCTGCCGCCCAGACAACCTTTCTATCCTCAATGGGGTTCAAAGCTTACATCATCTGACAGGCACACGGGACTCATTTAGTACACCTGTAATTGTGTGTACAATCTTTATACAAGGAGGGTTGCACGGAAAATTATAATTTATTCGACACAAATATCTCTTTTCTACTTGTGTAAAATGGGTTCGCAAACTAATTCAAGGCCCGTGTTTTAAATCAGTTTATTTTGTGGTATTTGACTTTTTTTCCTCTCTCTTTTTTTTTTTTTTTTTTTTTTTTTTCACACAAGCTTCTGACATCTATCAAAGACAGACATCATTTAAGCAGAATGTTTTAAAATACTTTAAAAACATCTGTTAATACTGTGATTTAATTTTTTAGCCTCACTCTAGTGTTGCATGTTAGGCGTTATTTTAGACAAAGGTCTGCTTGCTTATGTTCTCATTGGACTAGAGACTTGCCCTACAAAGCCATGAGGCCAATAGGTCCTGCCCCCTCAGTCACCTTGTCTAAAGGCCTTCAATGATCTGATGACAAGAGGTCCCAAAAACAGCGTTTTTCAGATGAAGACCTGAAAACAAACTACTGGGTGAAATGAATAACACACGCTATTATGATTGCACCCTACACTAATTTTATAGATTGAGAATTTTCAGATTGAGACAGAGATTTGGTTAAGCTCAATAAAGTGGGACAATTCCACAAAATTAATAGTGGATTAAAGTTAAGGCCTATTTAGAGGACAAAGAAAAGCCAACATGGAGCTCAGTCTTCCTCATCTCCTCACAGCCTGCGTTTCTAGGGCACTATGAGCTAGCCACACATGGCGCTGGCTATTGGTATGCAAATGAGTCTGGTTTTATTAGGCCTATCGTCAGGACTACAGCTGGGCCAGCACAGATATGCTAGGAAAGTGAATCAGTTGGCTGGAATGGGGGCAGGGGGAGAAACTGTTTTCTGAGTGATCAGTTTTAGAGCCCCATCTTGCTTCAAATGTATCCGGTACCAACTAGTCCACATTCAAAAATAAAAAGCTCACTTTGGCACACAAAACCAAAACAGACAACTTGTTAAGCTAATGTCCAATTAATTTACACAACTTTAGGAGAATATTCTTAGATGATTTTGCTTTACCTATAAGCCTCTTCCCTCAAAGATTAATTTGCATTTGGTTTGGAAATGCTAAATCTTGCTGATCATGGCTTAACCTAAATGATGAATGACCTCATACTGAATGATAAGACAAAAACAATTGCAACAGACAGAGTATTAGGGTCATAAAACCTATCACCGAAGGCCCCAATATGTCCCCCAGTTATTCACTGACATCTAACAGGACAAAAGACAGCAGGTATGACGGACTTCAAACACTGAAGTCAAAAGTTTAAAATACAAAAATTGATTAATACATAAAATAATGTTCATTTTGACTCACCAAACATCTGGATGAAGGAATTCAAAATAGACACAAAGGAGACATGGGTTATCCAAATGACCGTACAATAATATTGGATTGGAGCTCAGTTTGGAAGTGAGACCAGTTGTACCCGTGTGCTGATCAGGCACCACATTCCACAGACACTTCAAAGACAAGCCAAAATAAAGAGACATGCAGGACGCTGAGGTCTGAGCATCAGCGCACAACTAACACTGATCCACACACCTACCAACAACTCGAACACATCGCCAACACAGAACAGCCATGACTCAAACTAAGTTCTCTGAACAGAATTAGTTTAAACGAAGGGGAGATTTCCTTCAGGATTACAGGGGTTTTACCCCTGAGAGGGGGTGGAAGAGAGTACAGAGAAGGAGGAGGGCCATTGTCACAGCCAGTCCCCCTTGGATCGTTCCCGTTCCTTGCCTCGTCTCATTGGCTCTAAGAGGCTAATATGCTAATGACGGGATGAAACGCCGGACTCCTCTCTTTCGATCTCCCCTCTTGTGCAGCAGACATGCATTTCTACCATTACTATGGAAACAGGTTTCTCTCTAGGGCGCAAGGGCACCCGGTTTCCTGAAAGCCTTGGGTAACGAGCACTGCAACTGCCCAAGCAGGAACATCAGCAACACATGGCAAATACAACTTAGTATTCAAAATGATTGTCTTTGGCACATTTCGTTGTATTCATTATTTTAAGTTTTGTTAGTTGTAGTTCAATGAATGTATGAATATCTGTGGCGATCTAAGCCCAATACTTTCCTGCTTAATTATCAGTGTCACTTCATTCTTAGTGTGGTGCTATTTTATTTATTACCTCTTATTTTTAAAATTTTTTAAAATAACGTTTTATGTTCAGGTGTGATTTTATGTTCTATGTGCTTTGCAGATGCCGCTGGATACTAAGATTGATGAATTTATTTATAGATCTAATTTTCAACTGCTGTCCTATGGTGAGATATTTTGAAAACTAATGAAGTGTAAAGTTAAGAATCATTTCAAACCTGTCTTTAAATGGTATTTTAACATCGCTGAGGCTTGGGAACTAGGATTTTACAGGATTCTCATAATAAAAAGAGGCTTTCTTTATATCACATAACTACTGACATTATTAGCTGGTTCTGTTTAAGAAATAATCAATGATACAAGAGTGCCAACCGCTGTGCAGTTTGAAGTGAATGGCCTAACAAGCATGTTCATTTTCAAAAAACCGTTTGACACACCTTTCTTTAAAAAAAAAAATCTTTGCAATTTGGAAATCAAAGTAATCCAAACTGATAGGTTCTTTTAGTTAAAGCTATAAAGACTATAGCTGTTTCAACAGTTGCCTTTGGATAACGACCCTCCTAAATGGGGGAAAAACTCCTGCTTGAGTGACAAACAATTGTTTTTCTCTCATTAATATGTACTCTGGCACACCAGCAAAGGAGGCAAGAAGATTAGCAGAGAATGGTTGCAACCAAAAGCTGATAGGAAGGCAATAAAACTCACAGTGATCTATTGTGAGGAAAAGCATAGACAGAAAACAATGTTTTCTTTGTGAGGTACAACGAATGCATTATTTTATTCTTTAACAAATGCCTCCCATAGCACATGTATGTTAACCATATCTAATACGTTTTGATTTGACCAAGGTGTGACATTCTTCTGGCAAAAAAACATGTCAACACAAGCCATACAATGTGTGGCTTGGATAGATGGATGCGTTAACTATTATATAACATCTGACCAAATGAAGTATAGCATCATGTACAGTATTGGACAGGAAAATGTTGTATACACCTAACCTGCACTTTGCAGGTGAGCCGGTTATTTCATTTGGTCCCTGAGGGTCTGACAAAGGCCCTCTTTAGCAGACCCTACAATCAAACCAGTCATGTTTCGGGTGAGAGAGGTGAACCGTGAGCAGCATATAATGACCAGCACATTCCTGGGCTGAGTGGCATACCAGCTGTCAAGTCACTGGCTGTCTGCACTGACCTACAGCCCAGAAACACCTGGAAATCTTTTGTCTGAGGGTGAGGGTCCGAACAACATGACTATAACAAAGTACTCCACGTCCTGCACACCGTCAATTATTACAGTTCATGGACAATTAGTGACTCAGAGTGCTGGTGTAATTTACAAACAACCTCTCAATTACTTAAAGCGAGCAGTCGGGCCTCTCTTTCACCTGTTGTTAACTGCATCACAGCTGAAGTGTGAAAGACCGAGTGCAAGCCAAGCAACAACAACCAATAGTGTGGGGATTAAATGTAGTCCCTCACAATGACATACTGTTATTGACCAGCCACAAACAAGCCGTAAAAGTGTCATTTATAATATAATAGTGAGCAAACATGCACAAAACAAACCAAACTGGTGTGAGAAATGATTAAATTTCTATATATCAGCCATGACATGCTCTAGTTCCCTGAGGGTGATCTTCCCCATAAACGTTCCTAATTGCTGGTATGTGATGACAAAGCAGTAATAATGTAAGACGAGATGACAGGATATAAGAAGTTTTCCATTCAATATGACAGATAAACACGAAAAAAGATATATGTTACGATGTATTTAGCACTAAACTGGTAACTGTGGAATAAAAAATACACACACAAATAGCCTGGCCCAACAGGTAAAACACTGCTGTGTTTTTACAATAATGAAAATGTAAAAATTAAACATAAACCCTAAAACACCTACATACATCTTGTGTCACTCACATACCTCATGAATGTACGAACTAACATTTCTTCATGTCAAGTTGCAAAAACCCCATCACAGCTCAACGCAAGTATATTTTTTCTTTGATTAGACTGCAAAAAGAAAAAAGATTAGATTGAAACCGTCTGCCTGTTAAGCTAATGATCTACTCCAATGACTCCCTGTCAACTCACCTTGGCAATGGAATGAACCAAAAAGAAACCGCAGGGTGCAGTTAAGAGAGGGCTACAATGAAATCTCTAAACTAGGATTTCCTCAGCTGAGACCCAAACAATTTTAAGAAATCTGCTTACGACAAGAATTCAGTGCACAGCATTCCAAGCATACCGCAAGGGCTTATTTAGAAAAACAAAGACAGGTAAACTTAAGCCACTGCACTGCAACCCCTAATGAATGTGTACACTGTAAGTTAGGCCAATAAGCTTATCCAGGTATAACTGGATTGTGCACCAAACCTCCGTGCAGGCCTTGCTCATCTAAAACAGCTATATACTGTAGATGTGTAATTGTTTTGGAAACAGTATTTTTGATGCCGCAACAAGTATAAGGGAGACGCACAGAAGCAGTCGCCTTCTGCTACAGGAGGCAAAGCCTCTTCCAATGCAAATGAATGAAGCACATTGATAGCTGTGGTACTTCTGTAACAATGCCAGAAGGGGGAAACCAAATGCCACGACGAAACTTAAAGCTACACGTTGTAAAGTTTAGTGATTAATTGTGTGGTTGGCTGCATGTGCCACAGATGCCTCAAGGTAAGGGAAAGAAAGGCAAACAAGACTGCGGGGGTCCTGATGCCAAATAAAATTTTATCTGACCTAAACTACAGATGTAGACAACTGAACGCCTCATGGGAAAAAGAGTTGAGCTCTGACTATCACCACTGAAATATCCCAGCTTCCAAGGCAACAAGAGAGAGCTATTGGTGCTTCAAATGAGATGTGTTTCTGTGAATTCTAGTTGCACTGGTCAGAAAATATGTGCCGTTTGTTTCCTTGAGTTCTTTCTTGCTTTTGAGACAAGGAGTGTCAACACACAGTTTAGTGACATATTACTAACTAAAATTCAACTTAAACCTTGCTGCATTTAGTTAAATTACAACTTGTAGATTTTACAGTGGACAAAATATAACAATAGCAAGTTGGATTCCTTTTATGTAATGTGTTGATGTGGGACAATTACAGTCTTTGACTGTATGCAGTACTTAGTGTTGGCAAGTTTTAAACATGCTTCAAATATACAGTTTAACTTAGCTAACACCATGGGGTTGTTTTTGACGTACAGATGTTTTCAACAAGATTGATTATGTGATTTAAAATGTAAAAACATCTGTAAAACTTTAAAGATTTCCTCATCTGACAGACCAAAGTTGAGGCACAGAGTGAACAGTAGTTTTTTGTCAAGGCTTGTGCAGAGCGAGATGCTTTCCCACAGATAACCACACCTATCTGATCTCTCTATGGCGTGTGACAAGCCTCACCTCGTCCCCTCTACCAAATGACTTTGCACCAACAATCTCACATTAGTCACCGCATGCAAAATAAATCAAGCTCCTCCCTTGTGCTGTCTGTAAAGAGACCACACCTGTAGACAGGAGCAGGTTCTGACAGCTTCCTGATCCTTGTTCAACTATCCAGCATTATCCCCGAGATAAAAAGAAAGGTGTTTCACGGCTGACACCTTACATGCTCAGGCACAGATTAAGCTACAGTCAAACATAAGGGCTCTGTATGGGTGCAGGTAGCGATGTGGAATGCTCCACTCTAAAACATTTCCAAACCCCAGCTTTCTTTCCAACGTGGAGCCTGCAGTTGGATAAAAGAGATGGGACAGCAGTTGAAGCTTTGAGGTTGTACCACTATCGCTTGTATTCTAAAATCAGACACAGACTTGTTATTGTGGCCTTGGAAAATAACTGTCTGCAGATGCTATTTGAGACAGTCAGAAATAACTAAAGTCTCCAACAAAGACGAGCAGGAGGGAGAAAGAGTCCCATGGGACTAGAAGTCTGTGCAAAATGTAAAAACAAAACAATAAGACTCGACCTTGTAAGGAAATGTCTCTCTCCATTTACAATTACTAACATACTGACATAACAATACCCAGATCCTTTAGTTATGCCTCCTGCGGTTTAATCTAGACAATATTTTTTACTTCCTAGTCTCCAGTTTCAAAGGAATAAATAGATGTCACTGCCATGGATCATGTGAAAACAGAGACACTTGTACTGGCATGCTTGCTAGCTAGCAAGTGATTAGCCATGATACAAGAAACTTTGAAAACACTAGTAATATTAGTACTGCTTGTAGGTCCAAATGCAGTTGATTTTTAATGTCTCTCGACATACATGAAAACAATCAGACAAGAGAAATTTCACTCAAGAACAGTGAGTAGCTAGTTCTTTAGGTACACCTAGTTAAAACGATTGCAGTCTAATCCAACGGTCTTGCAATAAATCCTCCCTCCATGAAGGTTATAATGTTCAGTTTTCTTTGAAACTGTTTTAGAGGTGCTGATTTTACGATCCTTTTGGAGGCTGCAGTTTGTGGTGTTGAACTGTATTGCAGTAAACAGATAGTGATTTCTGTTATTCAGCCTACCCTCATTGAAATAAATGCGGTGGATGAAATAATATACCTTGTCAATATAAAGCAACATTTTTTTTAATTTAAGGCTTTCAAATTATCCCACAATAGCAAAAGTAATCAAATAGACAATAATGCACTCTTTTTCCCAGATCCTATAATAGACACATCTATTGGAAATAAAAGACAATGAGTGAGACTCACAGCTACGTCCTTGTGTAGAGATAAATGGTGAGTGGACTTCCTTGTACGGTAAGATTTGTTCAGGGATTACGTTATAATATGATACAATACAGAAAGAAATGCTGACTGCGAAGAGAAACAATGGGAGCAGTGTTTCACACACAACAAGGCTATTTGTAAGAAGGCCTCCAGGTCTCAGTTGACAAATGATTCATCAGTATATATGAAAACTAAACAATACTTTGTTTATTGCCGCTTACTGGTCACCAACAATCTGTTCTTTGGTCAATAAGAAAGAGTGAGATGTGTGGTGTAAAGTCCTGCAAATAAAACAATGTAAACAAGAAATGCCTTATCACTGAGGGTGTGAGATCAACTGACTGAAAGAAAAAAAAAAAAAGGAAAAAAAAATCTCATTGCCAAATAGTGTCATTTGCATCAAAACTTCCCCTTCTTTGTCCTCCCTACACCTGCCTACGTGGGACAGAACAAATGTCGTCATCTACAATCTCTCTTTCTTCTTTCAACTTGATCATGACACACAAGCCACAAACTCCTGTTGACTACAACCCAGCACAACGTGGCAAAACAGGACCATCCAGCTACCAAGAACAACAGTGACAGGTTAGAAATCCAAGAAAGTGCATGCTAGTCTAAAGACACACTAGACAGACAAACAGCTGCAAGGGCAAGGATCCCCCGCCTCCACTCCTCTGTCACCTAGATTTGTTGGAAATGTTACCATGGTGACCTACTAGGCTGAGGGGGTGGTGCACTTGTGACAGCAGCAGATGTAGGAGGAGAGGGCACGGGAGGGGACCGGGGATTGGTTACCTACCTTTTCACCACCAGGCTGAGGGTCTTGTGGGAGCCTTTCACTAGGCAGATTGCCTCCTGTCTGTAGCCACTCAGGGGAATCTCGTTGATGTTGACGAGCTCGTCTCCCACCTGGAGACTCACAGCTGCTGCCTTGCTGCCCTCCTCAACCTGGAACATAAACACAGCAGAATCAAACACGCTGTTTTACAGAGATTCCGAAATATTTCAGGAATCCAACTTCTGCCGGCAAGCTAGCTAGTTAGCAAGTGAGCAGCCATGATACAGGACATTTTGGCAATCTTTAGCTATAGCTCTTAGTTAGTAGTTAGCTAGTACTCTTGTCATGTTTTCTCTCAAAGCTTCCTCCACCCAATCGGTTTCCATAACAATAATACAGCGGGCCTCTGAATCAGCTCAAGTTACAGAAGAGTAGACTTAACATGCAGCAAAAAATAGAGTTAATTGTAACCTGAGCAGCAGTAGCTAGTGTTAGCTTACTAATTTGTATGTTGCACTCAGTAAAGTGGAATTTGTCTAAACATCTGTACTAATGGCAACTTTTTATTTCACAGCTCTAACAACACCAGCGCTGCCTTTCTGTTTGACTTAATAACTGGGGAAGATGATTTGTGAAGTCTGTGGGAATTCAGAGGAAACTGAATGACATGAAAATTTCTTCATGATCCTTTGCCCTTAGAATGTAGACCCTACCTTGATGTGACAGACTAGGGGATGGGATGGGTGTAGCACACCAATCGTTAATTATTCCTTTAATGTGCATTTAGCTACTTATTTTTATTTATCACAATGGCCACCAGCACATAAAGAATACAGTTATAGGTGGGTTCCAAAATACTTCTTATGTCCAAGAGGTCACCACAGAGTTGCTGTGAAAGAGATAAAGTAACCTCATACGATCTAACCTTGGTGCTATATCCTGCTTCTCACTTCTTTAAACTTGTGATAAGCAAAACCCTGATATTTACAGTAGGTTTTCACGCCTATTGTGTTGCTGCTCCGTCCAACGTGACCTTATGTCATAACTTTTGTACTGTTTCTGATTGTCTTCTTTCTATCTCTCTCCATTCACATGAATAAAAAGCCTAAATTTACAAAAGTCTCTGGTGAGTATTGAGGAGACAAGAAAAATAATTTGTAATATTTAGCCATATTTGTGTCTATCACAAAGCATTTTCAGTGCAGGGAACCATTTATAAAAGAAAAACCTAATTGAAATGATACAGCCTACCACACTAAACAAACTTAAACTTTATTTGTCCCCGTAGGGCAATTGGTTCTGCAGCAAGACATAGGCACAGGACAGACACAGATACAAGACCAACTAATAAAATACTAAAATGTTAGAGACTCTGGTTGTCCAACAGAGTGCGTTTGTCTGTCTAATATAAACACTGTCTAATATATGAATTAATATTAGAAAATATAACTTGCAAAAATAGATACTTTATCTCAGTGGTGTTATCAAAACCAAGGGCAGCATCACTACAAAGAAAACATTCTGAGGGGATATGTGAGAGAAATGCAACATAAAAGCTATCAGTCTGTTGATGACATTCTTCATATATTTTATAGGGTAACAGTGACAGAAGAAACACACTGTTTAGTTAACAGCGGGTAGGCCAGATTCTAAAGACAAGGATCAAAGGCTATAAAAATACTTCAAAAAGCTGCTATCCAAGCCAGTGGCAAGATGTAAAAACAAAGCGTATTGTGTTTGTTTGAGGCCAGACACCTGGAACAACACATCGGTCAAAAGGAAGTACAGTGAACAGAGTATAGTGTTGGTATATCTCCAGAGAAGACCCTCTGAATATAAGATATTAAACTGACAGAACCACAGCTACAGTGGAGGTCTCTGAAGTGTCAGATATACCAAGTGTTAAGGTCAGTGCTGTCCTCACACTGGCGCATAAAGTCAGATATGAGAGGCTCTGTGTGCAAAGAAAAGCAGCGAGAACTTGCTGGGCATTTGGCACATTAACACACAAAAGCCAAGCTCTGCAGCTGATTATCAGCTCAACCTGTGATGGGGTCTATATGACTCAACTACAGAGGTATGTGTACATTTACAGACCATTACGTGTTATATGGCCTTTATCCCCAGCACAGAAAACCAGCCCAGAGAGCTCTAATCAAAGGCTCTTCTCATTTTTCTATAATACCAATTTTAAAACAGGGTGGACTGAGGACTTTTATGATGGCTGGCTAGAGTCCTGAACTGGTCCAGATATGGTAATGTATTTAGTAGAGAAACTGCATAACCGGCTGATGCAGCTATAGTAGGTTTGTTTGTGTAAAACAGACACAACCACCCCCATGTTTTACTGAAACTGGAATATCATTCTCAGTAGATAACACAATACATTTAACTGAGGATGGACATCACATTTAGGCTAACACAAGGTTAAATTAGAGGTTGTGGGTTATGTAAGAACCTAAAGTTTTTAATAAAAAAGGTGTTGCAGGCCAGGTCACAGAGTACATTACAAATAACTAATTTTTGTTCCTATCCAAGGCCATTGGTTCTTACTAAAGAGCTAAACGGGTCACTAATTTCTAGCTCAGTAAAAGGTTTTAGCAAACACTACTGAAACAGAAGTGAATAGTGCCTTTAATGGGGACTACTTTAAGTTTCGAATGAATATCCAGTTTAGTTTGAGGCAGCAGGACGGTGTATGTTTATTAACTGTAAACTTAGTGTGACATTTAATCAGGTTCAGTTTTAAAATACTAAGTTTCAGCTGGCTGCACTGTTTGAAATATAAAATAAAGGTTGCACACTCCAGAATATATTTGCTTATATCGTGTTAGGGACCAGGCCAGGCTGCCGTGCAAAATTATTGTATTTTTTGGTTGCCTACAAAAAAAAAAAAAAAAAAAAAAAAAGGTACAAAAAGGAGAGCATGTAAGTAGTTCAGACTAAGCAGACAAACGGTGAACTAGTTCAGCAACACAAAGGAGAGAATATAAACTAAACTGATTAGTGTAACCAAGGAAAAACTTGCTTTAATCACATTTATCGAGGCCCAAAAAAGACAACAATGGTTTACAATAGTACAGTACTAATTGTTTTGTAGAACTCATGGAACATAAAGTAAAAACAAACAAATAAATGATGTCTTCAAGATAAACAACTTGCCAGGACATCTGTGTTAGAGCCTAGGGCTACACAGGAGCGTGGCTTGTATTCAAAACATCATAACAGGAAACTCACAACATCAAGGCAGGCGATTCATACAGCTTTTTCCAAACATTTTTCACCACGGCAGCCCAATCACCATGAGCCATACCAATGTCTTTTGTTTACCATCTTCCTCCAGGCTATAATCTGTGAAATTCCAGCCATCCTGGTTGCCTGACTATTCTCAAAAATAGCCTGATGTGTGGGACATGAAGGGAAGGATGTGGCGGTAGGAATGTGTCTTTTCTGCTGACAGATGTCCTGTGCAGCGTGCTGACAGGGCACTGAACTCAGACCTCTAGCATGGTTTTGGGCACTGCCTGCAAACATCACCAGCAACCGCGTAAACAAACTCACCCAAATTTGACCTTTGCAGATGTTTTAAGCATCTGTGTGTTTTGTGAACTTCTTGCAGTAAATCACTAAATTTGGTTGTAGAAAGCAATAACCTTCTTAGCCTTAGCAATGTGACAGTAACTATCACAGTGCATCACAGTGTACAGACATTCACGTCTCCCTCAAGGTGAACTGTAACCAATTTGGAGTTCCCTTAATTTTTCGTGTAGCACCATGATCAGGTCAAAATTTAAGTTTGTCCAATATTTGGCATTATGATCAAACACCTGTAACAGTAATGGCTTTCCCATCATCCTCAGCTGTACTTTGTGTTTATGGCTACTTAGCAAATACTAGCATGCTAACATGCTACACTAAAATAGTGAATACTGCTAAACGTCAGCATGAGATGGTTAGCTAAAGTTAGCATTTAGATCAAAGCACCACCGTCCCTAAGTACAGCCTCACAGAGCTGCTAGCATGGCTGTAGACTGTTTCAGTGCATGACTAAGGCTGGGTATTGAACCTCAATACTCACATAGTCTCAAAAACTGAAAGCTACAATCACATTTGTACTCTTATGTACTTATTCCTTGTACTACATCAGAATTTTGCATGTGTTAGAATAATAAATTTAAGCAAAGTTCTTGTACAGCTGATTGTGTTTACAAAACATGTAACATTTGAGAACCTTCACTTCTTTTGAAAGGTAAAAAGTAAGATATTTTCAAACCGTATTGTTTTGGTCATGGTGCCAAACAATCTCTCCATAGAGTACCTACATGTACATGTATGAATTTCAAACATTCAAGACAGAGTTTACAGCCATGCTAGCAGCTCTTTGAGGCACAGCGGCGCTTTGAGCTAAATGCTAACCTCAGCATGCTTACATACTCATAGTTGTTCAAAGTTTAAAAAAAAAAAAAAAATTAAAAAGTACACAAAGTAAGTAAAGTATTGTTTTGGTCTTTGTGCCAAACCACGTTTATCATTTTGGCAGTGGCAATGAAAAAAAATATACCCAGCCCTACCCAATTTCCATTATTAGCTTGAAAACTGTTTTAATTCAAAAGGTTTTGGCATAACAAGACACCAAAAATGCCACAACATCAAAAAGGTAGGGCTAAACAATATTTACAATAATTATTTTTTTTATCTTGTGTAAATACTGGGCGTGTTACATCAAAGAGCTCACACTGACCCATTCCTTCTCCTCTGCCTAATCAATAACTATTTCAGCATTCCATATTTCCGCCTACAGAATCCTGACTTCCACAAATAGAAAACTTGTTTTTTTTCCTCCCATGAGCCATAATCCTATTCTGTATGAATCATCTTTGCTCCAGAGGTTGGGCAATCCTAAAACAGTCAAATGGAGCCCACAATGTTCAAGGATTCAATAATTGGTAAAACCTGTTTACCTGCAGGTGATTTATCACAGCGTGTATGAACAGAGACATTTTTGCAGTATGTCTGGTACTGGTTCTTTAAGAGGAAATAATACTTTCATCCATATAAAATATGATCCTGGCAGAGGGAACATATATATATATGAGGTGCATGCCCAGCTGTGTTGTGTAAACTAGGATTATATACGTTTATTGAGACTAAGGACTAAGTCCATGAAGACCTTGAGCACAACTTGAGCTATGGGTGGAATGTTAAGAATTTTAATTAGATCCAGGATTTTCTTTTACCAATACTCTAAACCTCTCATCAAACAGTGGGCCCTTTTTTATTATTATGTTTCATTTTAACAATTGGACACAATGCAAAACTGTCAACAAAATAATTAATTTAGGCCCTCTTCAACACTGTGTTTCTCAGGTTAAGACATAAAAAGCAGACATATCTACCAAAACCAAACAGTGTACTGAGTGCTCATTACGCTCATTAAAAAACAGAAAGGCACAAAAAATAATTTAACAGAGGATGTTTACAATTATTAGAGATGAGTAATCAGTCAAACAATAGAGTGGACTGTGGCTGACACATGTTTGAATGGTACGCAATGAGCCAGGAAACCGACTAATATTTTAAAAGTAGCTTGTCGATGACAGAGTTTTCTGACATTTTTTTCCCCAGAACAGTAAATGTAGTGTTTTATTGTTGAATACAAAATGGTGGTGTTTTGATAGATTAGACCAAGTCTAACAACCATTATTACAAGGTTTTAGCTCCTGAATCAGTGTAGTGGTAGACCTGTTCAGGCAGGACAGAATGTGTTATTTTAAAACAGTGCTCACATAAACGAGGACATAGTGCACATATGGGTACAAGGACAGCCTAGAATATGTTCAACTGAAATCCCCATCCAAAATAACTGGACAGATTAAGAACAGTGCATCAGGTAGTGGTGTACAGGCTTAAATGCATACTATGTCTGCAGTCTGTCTACATATTTATGTTATTAGACAGATGAATATTGAGAATAAGAAGCCTCAAGCATTTTTTTTAGTATTAAGCAGATCCTAAACTGTAGACCTTTCTACAATGTAAGGTTATTATTTTGTGGGGGAAATAGTATCTTTTTTATCTAGTTAACACAAATTATTCAGCAGCATACCTTTGTAAATCAATGGCTATAAGCTAAGAGCCACTCCAAAAGAGCACAAATCACTAATCCTGACTTCACTTATCCCATCATGCCATTCCAACAGGCTTCAGGCTGTCACAGATAATTCACTACATTTAGAAAATCAAACAGTGCCAACATTCCTCCCCTGCTCCTGGTACCACAGGCTACCCTCCGAACTGAAATTTAACCCAACACAAAAATATGAGAACACAAAGGTCCAGGCGGAATCTAATAACACACAGCGTAGCCTAAGTGACAGCAAACAAAACTCTGACGCATTTCAAGACAGCTTGACAAACGTGTGTTCAGTCTAGTTTAAGACTCTGGCAAAACTATTACAAATAAATTTAAAGGTTGTGATTATATGAAAGGTTTATAATAAATGCTTCTCAGAAGGTTCTGAGGAATTAACATCTCACCATCAGATGCAAACAGGTCCACTTTTGTTGGTCCTTGGAGTGAGGATGTGGCGTTCAGTGAAAAAACAAACAATAAAACGCTGTAAACATCAAGCCCATATCAAGCCCACTCTAAGCCCATATGGTGTTGAGTTTCGTCCATCTGAGATGGACTTTGGACCCCTTTGTGGTCTAAACCAAGCAAGTACAGAGCTCCCGACAAACAGGGGTAGGTATTTTGCCATGTCAAATTAACTAACAAGGTCTTTTGTGGTAAATCATTACAAAGTCAACAGAGAAGCGAGGTTACAGTGTGAATTCAGAGCTGATTGGCCTGCACTGTGTTTAGGTACCCTCCCTCTCTTGGGGACTTTATGCATATTGTGGCTCATATCACCCGTTTAACAAAGTCATGGCATACAAGAATTGCAAGCTAGAGTAAACGTTCTGTTGAATGTTTATTTTTAGGAGAAACTTGATATAAAATGCTGACTTTGGCACATTTTGGCTGAATGTGGGGGCAAATCATAGTGCTCTAAACGAACACGGTTTTGCAACACGCTTTGACTGACGCAAGACTGCACATATCACACAGTTAATAGTTAAAACTCTCGCCACAGAGTAGCTACATGTTCAAATATATGTATGAATTTCAAACATGCGTTACTGCCCTGAAACAAGAGTCTACAGCCATGCCTCTTTGTGGCACAGTGGTGCTTTGAACTAAATGCTAACCTCAGCATGCTAACATGCTCATAAGAACAATGCTAAGATGTTAGGTAGGTATAATTTTGCCATGTTTACCATCTTAGCTCATCAATGTCAGTATGTTACCACATTACACTTGATAAGTAAAAAATTTTATCTGCTGGTGGCGCTAAAGAAAACGTCAAGTAATCACAAAAGTCATAAGGATTCATGGCGATTCTGAATGTCAATAAAAAACTTAATGGCACCATCCTGTAGTTGTCTATTCAGTCTGAGACTAACAGTCTGACCAACTTATAGTCTGACCAACAGACATTGTGTTTGCAATATAAAAAATTGTATCACATGCCTATCCTCTCTGTTTCATTTTATCTCAAGTGTCTAGACTAGATGTAGAGCAATATGTGTTGTGATATGTCAGGTGTCAGAGCACCTTGTATTTCATTAGATGACAGCAACTACTAACTACAATTTTAACTGGTCTGGGCCACAGGTCACAAACGTGAATTTTGAGCAGTAAAAGCAGTTTTTACACATCATATGCAAACAAGAATCTATTTAGTTATGTGAAAAGTGCAGAAACTCATTTTGTGTGTGGTTACTTTGTAAACAATAAATTTGATCACATTTCACTGGATGGAAATTTTGTATACGATTCAGTACAAGGAGACTCGTCATAAAATTTACAATTTACAGGAAGGGAAAATTCAAAGGGCATTTCCGCTCACAGCTAAACAGTGTTCTCCGACCAGCAAACCTGCACACGGCGCCTCAATTCTCAGCCATCTTTGACATAAAAAGAGTATTTTGGAGTATTTACCTTAGTTATGAGCAGAGGTTCTCGATACTCCAGTCCCCCTCTGAGTGTAAATCCCCATGGTGCTCCTCCTGAAAGAAATACATCCACCAGCTTCCAGCCCTCAACATCCCTGCTCCTTGGATCCAGATCTCCTGATTTCTGTGTCACATGCCAAAGGCTCTCTGCTTCTGTATAATGTGGATCATTTTTATATCCCTCATTATCCATGGTACTGCTAAGAAACAAAAAAACAGCATGAAAATATATCCCAACACAAAATAATAAGCACACATGACCAAACGGGACTATATTTCAAAAGGCTCCAATTTGCGCCCAATCTACTATTCATAAAAATCTGATAGACTATTACTATAATATGTATGCATGTTCTGCTCCAGTACTTTGTTGATGACACACCACTGTAACTCTCTCACAAATCTACTGTCCAGCAGTAAACAGTCTCGCAAGAGGAGAAACTTACAGCTAGACCTTCACTGGTACTAAAGAATGAGACAATATTACCCCCTCTGAAGGATCATTACTCTTGTTGACAGCCAATTTTAAAATGATAACGATTTTACTGATCACTTTCACTGCTCAGCGGTCTGAGCACTTGTTATAACGCTGTTCATTTAAGCCCTCCTGAACCTGAGCGTGACGTGAAAAGACTATGGACTGTTCTACAATCTAGACTCACAAATAAAGCTCACTGAGCATTTGTCACGGTCTGGAGAAGCTAAAAGATAATTTAGGACTGGTAGATAAGAAAATGTGTAATTGTAAATATTTCCTTTTATCCTGTTAATTCTTTTTCTCCTAATACAAGTTATGCTTTTTACAGCTGACTTTGTTTTGGGCCATGTGTTTTTTTTATTTGCATGTACTTTTTACGTGAAGCACTTTTAAGTGTAATGTCTGTTTTAGGCTAATTGTGTTTGTTATTATTAGACAATCTTGTAATAGATAATGGATGGCTGTATCATTTTCAATTGTCTGATGCATAAAAAATATGCCTTCACTATCATAGTTTTACGTTATTACAAATAATACAAATTAAATGCTTAAGATTGTCGATACAATACAATAAATAAAGGGATTTTAAAGAATGCTATTTATCTTAATTTGATCAACACTACATTTTTAATTTTGCTTTAACTGCTCAATAGTAGCCTATTGTATATTACACTGTGTAGGTTCAAAAACAAAGTGACCAGAGCATGTCTATGCTGAGTAATACAGTATGTTCATATTCAAACATGGCAACATCATTACATTAAACACATCCTGACAAAACACAAGAGCTAAAAGGAAATTATGGAATATGGGACACTGTAACAATATCACTGAATGTACATTTATTTTGAGAAGAATCTAAACACCAATGTAGGATGTCATCGTATTGGGATATTTAGGATGAAAATACATTTATGCTCTTTATGTGAAAGTAATTCCTCTTAAAAGACACTGAACTGTTTGTTTGGATGTTGAATCCAGTAACTTCGCTTACGTTAGTTATGAAAGCTGTTTTGCCTTTGTCTACATGGTATAAAAATGCATTCTTATGACTCTACTTCTGTAACAGCGTAAACACCTGTCATACTCCAGACATGCGGACTGAAACTTAATGCTCTTATGTGTGAGAGCATTAAAAACACCAACAATGTCGAACAGCACAATGGAAACAAGCTGCGCCTGTAACATTAACGTTACCATCAAATAAGGAAAACTGAGCAAATCAGACTGAATGCTAGGTTCGTCTTTCAGATAAGGAATATTATCCTTCAGTTAACTAAATCTTCGCGTGAAACAAGTAACTTACTTTATAATGAAATTACCCACTCGACTAGCTTTTTACAAAACTCAGCTTAACTGTTAAACGGCTGACATTACCTTGGAGTTCAACTTCTGGACAAGCCGGTGAGCACGAAGTCTTCGTCGGGTGACACGCAGCAATGTCCCAGGGTTGAGTTACACATACTTCATCTTTTGTAACTGTTTAATTCTCAAAGGAATCACTTTTATATAATTCCGCTGGTTGTGCGCACGGTTCCGGTGAATAAAATGAGATTTACAGTTTTAAACGCAGCAGTTCAGTCCGTATCCTGCTTCATGATGCAAACCGCGAACGACACACTGACCCACTCAGGAGAGTTTAAATTAGCTAAGCTAACCTAGCTCCATCCTTGGACAACAGGGATAACAAGTGGAGCGAAGTGTAGCGCAAGCGTGCCCTCTACCGTTAGGTAGCAAGTAAGGTGAAATGTCCCTCTAAAATACTTTGTTCTAGTTTATATTTAGAGATAGAGATACACACCTACTCTAGAGATATAACGTTACACCAAACACTTACTCTAACCCGAGGGCTGAGACTTTAACAATACGTCCTGGAGGGTGACACAAAGCGTGACAAAGCAGTAAATCGTTATTTAGCTAAAAACCTAAAAAGGTAAAAACAACCGCAGTTTCGAGAAGAACGCTTACGTTCCCATGGCAACCTGTAGGGTAGCTTGTAGGGCCAAACTTAAGAAAATTCGCGGAAGTGGCTGAAAGGTAAAACGTCACCAGCGAGTTATTAGTTTCAAACTTCAAAAAGTTGGCGTATAAACCTGAATAATGCATCATTAAAGCATGCTAAAGAACTTGTTTTGAGTTATTGACAGAATACCTAAAGTATGTTTAAGGACTGGGGAACGTGGCTTGGAATAGAAAACAAAAATGGCCAGGTTAAGGAAGACGGCGAGTCTATTGTTGATGTTCATGAAGACATCGATCATGGCATAAACAAGCGGCAGACTGCTGTTGCTGAAAGTGAGCAGACCAGTGCTGTTGAGGAAGATGCTCAACCGCCTCAACTTCTCCAAAAAGCAAAGGGCTTCAGTGGTAGGTTTGATGAAGCTGATAAACCCCTGTAGTCATGTTAAACTTTGAAGTGCTGGGAGTGGTAATAATACACTGTGCTGAATGTGTATATTCGCTTTACTAGGATCCCTGTAACCTCATTAATGTTATACTTGCTTCTTTGCAGGTTACTTTTATAATTTAGCCAGCAGTGCTTCAAAGAAACTCTCGGAGTCCGTCGTTGAAACTGCACAAACTCTAAAGAAAAGTGTGGAGGAGGGGAAGATAAACGGAATTATTGATAAGGTAATTTTCTAATTTTTTTTCTTAATTGAAATGTTTTAACCTCCTTCTTTGTCCTAAAGACGTTTGGTACATGTCCTTCCCTCAGACCATTTTGGGTGATTTCCAGAAAGAACAAGAGAGATTTGTTCAGGAGAGAAAAGCAAGAAACTCTGGTAAGCACTGAATAGTATGTTTGTTTATGCATTTACTATGTATGCATGATATGGAAGTACATTATATTACACTACAGTTAACTACATGCTAGTTTTCATTGTTCATAGGTGAAGCCGTGCCACCATGGGTTGGTTATAATGAAGAGGAAACCATGCAGCAACAGATTTTAGCGCTCTCAGCTGTGAGTATTACTCTTGTTAGAAAATGTTTCTTTTGATATAGAAAAATAAGTAAATTGTGCATCAATATAATTTCAAGGGAAAATTGAACTTCAGTTTATTGCTTAATTTATTGACAGGACAAAAGAAATTTTTTGCGAGATCCTCCTGCTGGGTCTCAATTTCACTTTGAGTTTGAGCAAATGTATCCAGTCGCCATGGTGATGTTGGAGGAAGATGTGCTCCTTCAGAAGATGCGTTTCCATCTGGTTCCCAAACAGTGAGTGTCTTTACACCTGCATATTACTTTGTTCTGTGTTTTACGGCATATGAGTGGATTTATTAAAAACAGAAATATTTTATTCCACTACAGAGATAACTGTCAATATTCCTCTCCATGTCATTCATTTTAGGGTGAAAGAGGAAGTGTTTTGGAAGAATTACTTCTACCGTGTGTCCTTAATAAAACAGTCAGCTCAGCTCACAGCTCTAGCAGCACAACAGGCTGCTGAGCAGAGAGATGTGGAGAAAACTGGCACGAGTCCTGAGGCTGTTCATCAGAAGGGTGAAACTTTAATGCCTGTGTTTAATCTTTAAGTTTTTGTCAGTGAAAAAAGAAATAATTAATTCCAAATCATAGCCTCTCACACAAAACCATAAATAGTGATATCACTGACACAAATAGAAGGCTGAGATTTTGCCAAATATTGTGTTTTATTTTAATCTACATGCGAGATAATGTATGTTATTGTTGCAGCTGTAGTTAAACGGAAAACTTCACCTGCCATCTGCAGTAACAAACCAAAATCAAGTGAGGTAAGCCACCTGTTGTCAAAGAAAAAAATACCCAAGACAATAACAGTGTTCATCAAAAAGAAGCTGTTGGACTAAAATTTGTTTAGTTAAGAGTCTCATCTGTTTCTGTTTCTCTTATGAAAGGATGAAGAGGAAGTCTCCACCAGCCCGCCTGTTTCTGAATTTGTGAGTGATGCCTTTGACTCTTGCAAGATAAATGAGGACGACCTACGCAAAGAAATGGAACAGCTGGTTCTGGACAAGAACGAACATCCAAAGGCACAACAAGGTAAGTTGAACTGGGTTGTCATATAAAGTTAGCAGAGTTGTTGATCAGACTTCAATGAGTGACTCAACATTTGGTTTTTCAGAAGAGGCTGCTGACTGGGAGAGAGAGCTGCAGGAGGAACTTCAGGAGTACGACGTGCTGCCCGATAATGAGAACTGTGATGAAAACTGGGACAGGGAGATTGAAGAGATGCTAATGGGGGACAGTTAGAGCACTTAGACTGCTCCAGCCTTCACTGTTTGAAGGACACATTTAAGGTCAGAAACAGCACGACTACACATTTAATGTTCCCAGTGGAATGATTCATTTCAATATTGGTCCTCTTAAGAACTCTCAAGATGGAGAAATACCACTTAACATCATTAACATTGTACTATTTCTGTGGCCTGAGTAGTTCTTTGAGTAATTATTTACTATTGTCTTCTGCAGTTAAAAGAAAAGGAGATATTGTACTGCATGTCAAGCTCATAATGTGAAACTGAGGCACGCCTCCATAGAAAAGTGAACAGTCATACCACATCAAATTAGCAACAAAACCAGTTAGTATATAGACTTGAGTGAGGATGCATTTAATATCTTAAAAGAACTGTTCATTTGTAAGAAGAAGAATTTACTATTCCTTCTCCCTTTTAAAGGTGGGGTAAGCGATTCTAATCCAATACACGTCTTTTTGTCAAATTCAGCTAATGTCTCTTCACTAGCTGTCTGTTCTGTGTGTGAGAAACAAACAAAGTGGCTCGGACTAAGCCATACAACACTTTTTCAGCCATTGTAGCTGTGGTTTGTGTGTCAGGTAACTTTAAATGACTTGCCCACGGACATTCAGCTTAATTTCTAGTTTGCCTAAATATGCTGTTGTTAAGATGTTAGCTATATTAACTGGAGTATCATTGTCTGGAGCTGCTGTGCTGCCTCGTCCTCTCTGCATGTTCGCTTTGCAGCAGCAACTGTAGCAACAGTTTGCTAACCCACAACCTAGCTCACGTTAAGTACAGTACTTGCTGTGTCGTTGTTTTTGTCATGGGATTGGTCTGACTGGATCCAGAATGGGTGGAAATCTGACTGAATGGGAGGGGAGCCATGCGCACCTGCCAGAGCGACTGAAACATGAGCTCGCAGATTCGTCTGGTTGACAGGCTACACAAATACCATTATGATGATTTCACATTCATCCTGCGTAAAACGAGCAGGTGATGAATGAACAAATACAGCCGAACTGTTCAAATCAAAGACTCGGTATGACATTATAGACCAGAAGTTTTGATGCTTCTTCTTCTTCACTAGTTGTCTGTTGCCAAAATAACATCAACCAAGTCAGGTGACCAGTAAAGTATAGTTTTGAAGAAAGTTTATCCTATGACTGAGCCAACTCTTTTTAAAAAAAAATATAAATGGATATGATGCATGTGTTTGTTTGTAATAATAGCCAATTTTAATAAAATCTAAAAATGTGCTTTACAGTAAAGAATGTAATACACAGTGTATGTTATACCTGTAATGGACCTAGGGCACTGTGGATTTTATCAAAATGATAAAATGGATGACTGAACACATATTTTTTGTAATGAAATGCATTGTCCAAACAAGCTTTGCTTTCTTCCTGTTCACACTAGAGTTGATTCAGGAAAATAGACCCCAAAATCCATTGTCTTTGTGTACTTTCTGTATATGCACACTTCACTGTAGTGTTACATTCCCATTAAACCTGATCATTTATTACTGTCTAAAATGTGTTGACCTTTTCTTGCACTAATGCATGTGATTCTTTTAAAGTTTGTATATGGGTTGTTTGGGGACACAGTGCTGTATCAGACATTTTGAAGCCTTGCTTTCTAAAAATGTCTCACACACACTGAACTTACTTTTACATGTCTCAATCAATGTGTAATGACACTCTGAGAAATGTTTACTGTTTTCCTCAATTAAAATGGGCAGAAAATGAAATAAAATAAAAGCAAACTGTGACTTTACAGCCCCTTGGCTGCTGGAGTACTCTTTATTGCTGAACTTGACAGGAAAACAACCTTCCCCCTTGTATCCATTTTAAATACTATAACAATAAACTATACAATGTATGTAAGTAAACACAAATCCAGTAATGTAATACACAGGTTGCACTCATGCTACAACTATTGTACCTATATGTACTCACCAACACACAGAGTCACATAGATTCTGCCACACTTCTGTAGTTCATACTGAATAAATTGAAAATACTTATTTGACATTATATAAAAGTGATAATGGGAAGAGATTTCAACATCAAACAAGTGATATATAGAAGATGTTGCAAAATGAAAAACAAAAAAAGGTTATATTAAACAGTTTTGGTTTAAACAATACTAGCTTCTTAAAAAATGTACATACTGTGCAACATTAACATAAAATACAGAAAATGCCATTTTATATTAAGTGTTCAAAAGGCATTTTGTGTGTGTTAAGTTTTTTCCTTTTTTTAAGTGGCTTGAAGCTACTTTTAGTCTTGGGTCATAAAAAAGAAATAACATCTTAATACTCTTACAGTTTGTGACACTATTGCTATTTTATGCACAGTTGCTTTCGGAGTCACAGTAGTAAATAGGTAGTTTACATGCTGTACAGTATGTCATGTGGCTGTCAGAAGCTGCTTTGTTTAAAAATCACTACTAATGTGGGGGTAGACTTACGCTTTAAAAGGAGTAGACTGAGTTTTCGTAACACCAAACACTCAGCTTTAAATTGTCATGCTGGTCAGAGGTCTGTACTGTATGATTAGCACAAGTCTGTTGCTAAATATCAACACTGTTTACTACAGAGTATAGACAGAGAGGGAAACTGATTGATATAGTATGGTGTCATTTTAACCACCTTCAAAAGATTCAAAAGATGTATAATGTGAAAGGAGTGGCTTGTAGTGAGGAAACTGCAGAGATCCCAACACTCTGTAGCTCTACTGAGCTATTTTAACCTCTTGTTTTAACACCCACTCATTTCTTGAATCTTTGAGTCTAGCCATTCTCATCATTGCAGTTTTCAGCAGCATCAAACAGCAAAATTGGAGAGTAGCTGGGGAGAAAATCTTAATACTTAGCAGGTAAAGCTCCAGATTATTTTCTCAGAAGTTGATGGATATCAAACTAAACAAGAGGGAATGGTGCACTTCCACAGGTGGTCGGAAACACGATTCTGGAGGGGACTGCTTCATGTCTGATGGATGCATTAGCATGCCATTTTTTGCCAACATGTTATCCATAACATTATAATGCGATACATTTTCAGGGCTGTGTGTCTGTCAGCTTTCTGCTTCTTGTTGATTTGTGCTGCTTTAAGTACAATTATCCTACGTCTTAAATTTAGCCAAGACAACACTGATATTTTTGTGTGAGTGAAACATCTTCAATTTAATGAAATATTTTCATCGTGTAAAAACTAGAAAAAGAAGCACAGTAGTAACCATGAAGAAAAGGAAGAGTTAATTTAGCTCTGGCACGCATGCATTAATAAAATAAACTCAGTATTTGTTCGTTACATTGCAGCAGCATGCAAATGGAATTGAATTATAAAGCAGCAAAAAGATTCTTTCATTTTAGGGGAGTGGACATCTGCCAGCGAATAAGGCATTCAATACTATACAATACTAAGTGGGGTCCTGCCATTAGAAACCAATACACCATACAGTTTGAGTTCATGATAATCACAACGCAAGGAGAGATGAAACATAACTCTTTGGTTCTGGTAATGTAATACTTTTGACTTCCCTTTACAATAGATTCTATTCTATAAATCTGACACATTTAAAATTCAGTAGTAGCCACAATCATTAAATATACTTCACAGAACAGAGTGATCACATCAGCTTTGGTCAAATCGAAATAAAGCAGTTCACTTAGTACAGCATCTTGGTGTGGAAAAAATAAAATCCTTAATTACTCTGCATTTTCCTTGGTAACAGTTAACGTCATCACACTGAACAAATAAATAACTCGGTGGGAAATACCCAAACAGTGCTACATTGTTTGTCTCAGAAAAAAAGAAGTAGAAAACAAAGGCAGAGGTGGGAACACTGTGTGTGTGATTGTGAGGTGTGCCCAAAAGTGATTTGGAGTTATCAGCTACATATAGCACAGTAGCAGGCCGATGAAGCAGTGTGTGGCAAAAGGATGATGAGGAGGACCATGTTTATGTCAGTCCAATTTCCTCCAGTACGCTGCGCGGAGTCTCTGCTTCCTGTGGAGGGAGAGAGGAACCACAGCTCCAGTGAAGTGCTCGGTGAGCTACTGATTACAGAGGATTTCAACAATTACAGCATTACTCAAATGTGCACACACACACACACACACACACAGTGATTCCACATTTTATCTGGAGAGATGTCACCGCTGTCTCAGCAGCAGTTGTGGGTGAATATTTCGCAGACATGGCTTTGTGCTAAACAGTCTAATAGTTCACCCTCCTCATTCTGAATCATTATTTCAGAATACTGTAATTAGTTGTTAAAGTTGTATAAATCCATATTTCCATATTAACACTGCATCTAAATAAGTACATAAATATACATGTAAAGTGCAAGGGGTGTTCTATGCCAAACCTCCCACAACTCTTTCACCCTCCAAATTCTACATTTAAATTTGGGCATTTGATACTACAATTAGTCGTTCAAGTTAAAGCTGCACTCATCCTCATTTTCTATATTAACACCGAATCAAAGGGATACATACAGTGGGGAGAACAAGTATTTGATACACTGCTGATTTTGCAGGTTTTCCTACTTACAAAGCATGTAGGGGTCTGTAATTATTTTTATTTTTATTTTATCATAGGTACACTTCAACTGTGAGAGAAGGAATCTAAAACAAAAATCCAGAAAATCACATTGTATGATTTTTAAATAATTAATTTGCATTTTATTGCACGACATAAGTATTTGATCACCTACCAACCAGTAAGAATTCCAGCTCTCACAGACCTGTTAGTTCTCCTTTAAGAAGCCCTCCTGTTCTCCACTCATTGCCTGTATGAACTGCACCTGTTTGAACTCGTTACCTGTATAAAAGACACCTGTCCACACACTCAAACAGACTCCAATCTCTCCACAATGGCCAAGACCAGAGAGCTGTGTAAGGACATCAGGGATAAAATTGTAGACCTGCACAAAGCTGGGATGGGCTACAGGACAATAGGCAAGCAGCTTGGTGAGAAGGCAACAACTGATGGTGCAATTATTAGAAAATGGAAGAAGTTCAAGATGACGGTCAATCTCCCTCAGTCTGGGGCTCCATGCAAGATCTCACTTCGTGGGGCATCAATGATCATGAGGAAGGTGAGGGATCAGCCCAGAACTACAGGGCAGGACCTGGTCAACGACCTCAAGAGAGCTGGGACCACAGTCTCAAAGAAAACCATTAGTAACACACTACGCCGTCATGGATTAAAATCCTGCAGCGCACGCAAGGTCCCCCTGCTCAAGGCCGCGCATGCCCAGGTCCAGGTCTGAAGTTTGCCAATGACCATCTGGATGATCCAGAGGAGGAATGGGAGAAGGTCATGTGGTCTGATGAGACAAAAATAGAGCTTTATGGTCTAAACTCCACTCACGGTGTTTGAAGGAAGAAAAGGGGACAGGACGACTGCACCATATTGAGGAGGATGGATGGGGCTATGTATCGCGAGATCTTGGCCAACAACCTCCTTCCCTCAGTAAGAGCATTGAAGATGGGTCGTGGCTGAGTCCTCCAGCATGACAACAACCCGAAACACAGTCAGGGCAACTAAGGAGTGGCTCTGTAAGAAGCATCTCAACGTCCTGAAGTGGCCTAGCCAGTCTCCAGACCTGAACCCAATAGAAAATCTTTGGAGGGAGCTGAAAGTCCGTATTGCCCAGCGACAGCCCCGAAACCTGAAGGATCTGGTTTACATGGAGGAGTGGGCCAAAGTCCCTGCTGCAGTGTGTGCAAACCTGGTCAAGAACTGCAGGAAACGTATGATCCCTGTAATTGCAAACAAAGGTTTCTGTACCAAATATTAAGTTCTGCTTTTCTGATGTATCAAAAACTGTCATTAAATAAAATGCAAATTATTTAAAAATCATACAACGTGACTTTCTGGATTTGTTTTGGATTCCTTCTCTCACAGTTGACGTGTACTAATGATAAATTACAGACGTACATGCTTTGTAAGGAGGAAAACCTGCGAAATCAGCAGTGTATCAAATGCTTCTCCCCACTGTATAGTGAAAGGGGTTGCTTGGAATAAGTTTATTTACTTTCAGCGTTAATTACCAAAACGTATTGTGTGTGTGTCCTTGAGGCCTAACAAATGTATGTTTGGTGCCTTTTATTCCTCATAACGTCTGCATAGCCAAAGTGCAATGGCTGTGCTTTTTTGCATGTTACTACCACCAAATGTTGGTCAGGGGATTAGCGCAAGAGTGAGCCACCCGCATGCTCATGTGCATGCATGATAAAAACAAAGCAGGGACCAGTAAAACCATTGCTCCATAGTGAACAGAAACTCCAAAGGGCACCTGCATTAACATTTTAATAATAAAATGTAATCTAATGAATACATGTAATGTGAAAGGGGTGGCTTGTAGTGAGGAACAGATGCTGTAGTTCAGCTCACCTTCCAAATTCCACCATAAAATTAGGGAATTTTCTATTGCAAATGTTCATTAAATTTAAAGCTTCATAAATCAGTTTTTTTTATAACATTGAATCAAATAAATACAGATAAGAGGTGGCTCTTAGTGAGGAACCAACAACTCTTATAACTGTAGTAAGTAATTACTGTAACTATCAAAGCAAAATGAAAGACAGAGGACCTAAAATGCATGTCTTTATCAGTGGACCCTTTTCATGGGAGACATTTTATCTTGTCAAAAGCACAGGTGTAAATAACATTAATGATGGCTCCTTTCCATTACGATTGTCAGTGAGTGAACATGCACAATACCACAGCCCTGGAACTGGGTCACCTAAATGAATGCAACCATCATTAATGCTATTAAGTCACAATGCCTGTTGTGATAAGAGTCTACTGGCCTACATACTTCAACCAATTACTTGATATATACAAAACTTTTTGTCCATTCTGTCCCTACGCTAATGTGTCACAAATCATAAATAACAGACATTGTACAGGAAAACATCAGTGCTGGTAGCTTGTGGCAGAAAGAAAGAGAAGCACTTACTTTGGCATCCTAAAACCAGGTTCAGCACAAAGTAAAGAGAGGAGTTGCATCAGAGCAGTAAAACTTTTTATGCAAGAAGAGAAAAACAACCCACTTCTTCACAGTGACTTCTAAAGTGCCATTTCATTTTCAGTGCAAAATGTTCAACCCAGATCTTGAAACGTCAACTATGCATTATTCACCAGCGATAGACTTTTCACTCTTGGGGTGGATTTTGCTGGAATGACAAATCCCTCGTCACCCATTATGTGGGCTAATCATCTACAGAGCAAATGGAGCTTAGCACCATTCAGTGGTGAGGTTATCGGGTTTGTTTCTCACACAGGAGAAAACATTTGCAATAACAACAAAATGACTACATATCAGCCTGAACCTAAAAAGGTGTCGCATTAAGGGGGGAAAACACCATAAACACAGGGACCAATCAGCTATATTAAAGAAAGACACCAGCATGTTTAATTGATAAAGAATCATACACAATTTATTTATTATGTCTATTATATACATTAATAAAATTTCCTCACAACGGTCTGTCTTTCTTAGTAGGACACAGATGAACATTGACAGATCATATAAAACAAAAAAAGTGCTTAGTCAGTGTTCATTTATATCAGAAAGAATTTGTAAGCTAATTATTTCAATGCGTTTCAATGTCTATTATCATTGTAGTGTAGAAATCCTAAAGAGCCCTAAGTTAAACAGTGCAAAGAGAACATCCATTACCATTAATCCCACTACTACCACTTACCTTGAGCTTTTTGCTATCTATTTAAATAGAAAATAATTTATTAATCTATAAATAATTCAAAAGATTTAAAAACACCATTTAAACAGTTGAAAAGCTATTAGGTCTTCTAGCGTGTGCTATGGTATGGACTAGGGTTTGTTCAGATTTTAACAATTATAACAACAACTCCTAGAAATCACAGTAAGTACAAGAAGTGAAATTCAAATGCATGATTTAAAGTGAGGGGACAAACACAAAAGTATAACTGAGAAATGAGAACAGGTACCACATGACGTCTAATGCATTCCCACACATAGATGACATAATAAAAACAAGACGGGACCAATTAAAATATGAAATATAAAACAGACTGGATGAACATCTCTTGGATATAATAATAACTTAAGTGTGAGAGCGTCGGACCTGGACATAAGAATTCAGATGATCGTATTTTGTGATCTGGTCTTCAAGCATTTCCTTTCAAAGAGTGTGTATACACTCAAATACTAGTGCCTTGAAGGGGGCAGACTTTCCCCACACAGTTTGAAGGCAATATCACACAATGCCATTTGTCATTTGTAACGTCTGACAATTTGATAAATGGTGACCAGTGGTTTTCAATCAGGTGCCATCTTGATCCAACAGTCTACAGATTTTCTTTCAACCAAAGTCTACAGCAGCTGATTTCCACTTGTTTTTTAAATAGTTAGTATATTACCTGCTGCACAGCTGAAGTAAAAATAAATGGTACTGGTTTGCTGAGGTTGCAGATCAATTCTTTACCTTGGAAACAAAACTACATTTCTCAACACAAGGTCCACTGATGGAGGCCAAGTGGGAGACGATGGCACATGATGCAAACTTGCTTTGCTACAGTGGTAATGGTAAAAGAGGGGTGTTCAACTGGTGCAATGAAGCCAGTAATAAGTTGACAAATGACAGGCATGTAACAATATATCACCACAAAATATATATTATCAATAAACATATTGATAGCTAACATCCTTAGTAGCGGGGCATTGATCTCCATTCCAGCAGGAGAAATGTCTAATCCAACCTAAATGTTTTCAGCATTTACTGTAGTTGTTTTCAATGTACTTATATTGTGGCGAAATTATGTCCAATTGAAGTGAGCTGAGAATATTGTTACACCCCCTACACCAATGACAATGACAGGTGCTGAGAGGGCAGAAAGAAAGGTGCCAGGCACTGAGGAGCTCAGCATGCAGGGTGGATAGCAGCAGCGGCAGCAGCGATGGCAGCCAATCAGTACACAGGCACATTAAAGTACTCATGACGGGGCTGGGGGAGAGAAATGCACACAGCTTAGAAAACAAGACAACAGTGAGTCATAACAGCCACCTCATACAGACACTCACAGGACATGCAGAAGACAGTGCAGCAGGCTGGAGCTACCACCTATACGCACTACTCTCTTCACTGTCTTTATCCATTATAGGAGTAGTTCATTTCTTTTAAGATATACACTCACTGGCTTCCTTGCCAAGATTTTGATGAGAAGAAGAGCTAGCCTGGCTCTGTCCAAACGCCTATCAGCACTTCTAAAGCTCACTAATTAACACTCTGTATCTCTGTTTGTTAAAATCTATAAACATAAATATAAAAAAGATCATTTGTGCTGGAACGACACAGAGATTCTGTGAATAAGCATATTTCCACAAAATTTCCACAAAATGTCAAACTATTCCTTTAAGTTGCCTTTTAACGGGGGTAGTGCGATGGGGAATATTCCTACTTTGCCAAAGTAAAAAAAAAAAAGTCTGTTCATTTTTAAGGTCTGCAGAACTGTGAGCTTTGTTTAATTCTGCTCATATTCTGAATACCTTTGGAAAAACGCATCCACAAGTCTGTCTTACCTAAGGACAAAAATATATGAAATTCCCCTAAAAAGCAAAATATTTCATTTTGAGTGAGAGGCTATGAACAATTTGAAACTAACAGATATGAAAACACTTGTACTGTGTACCGTTTTATTTTCATTGCTTACTCATTTAATCCAAGGGCACACAGTCAAAGTGTCACCTGTCCAAACTGCAGAAATGCAATCATAAAACATTTGGTAGGGGACAGTGTCAATGAAATGTTACACATACATGGAAAACAAAGACAAACAGACTAAGACAGACTTTGTTTTCAATACAAACATGTATTATTGGCTGTGGAGAAACTAACTAGTGACACAAGACCAGGAACACTGTCTTAACCAGAAGGACCTGAGCTACAGACAGACTTATATACACAGTTAGAAGACTGAGGCTAGTTCTGACTAGCAGGCTCTAGCAAGTATGCACGGCCTACATCCACAGACACAGAGTAATCACCTCAGCGGGCCTAATGCTGGAAAAGACCAGAGGACTCAGAGACCATATTTGGGACCATCACACCTGTTAGGCAAACAATTTCATAAAGGACAAAAATAAACAACTCAGATTAAGATTAAAAACTCTCAGGAACCTACAGCATCTACACATGTACAGTATGTGCTCGGGGAGCAGGAGGTTAACTGTGCACCTCCTCAATAAAACTGTCCTCTTCACGGGGACATCTCTGCTTAATTTATCTCTGATGTCTCACATGCAGAGTTGAGCTGAGCAGGAAATCTTCTGAGGCATCATTATTCCAAAAGAAGATCTGCTTGCTGGCACCAAGGTAATGGCCAGCTCCTGAGAAATGTTTCATTAAAGGCTTATCAAAATAACTTCAGCCAAATCCCCAGTGGTATGTTTCCCAGGTAATTACTGCACTACGCTCTTACTAATGCCTCAAAGCCAGAGGCACTCATTCCAAAAGTGCCCCCAACTCAACCCTGGCATTATTTTTATTACCTTACGTGTACATTATGTTTAAATTGTTTCAAAGGATGGAAAGAATTTTTGTCTCTAATCATCAAAATCAGGATAAGTGTTTGCTCATACCGTATGTCCATCCATTAAAAGAAACATCTTATCCACCACTTGTTGAAAAAGTGAAAAAACAGGAGTAAATTCTGCACCTCACCATTGGACAATAATTAGACTGATTACTAAATCACACCGATAAGGAGTTTGATTGCTAAAGTAATAAATAATTTCTGCAGCATCTCCAGTAGTAGAGATGTTAGTGAATTTGATCTGATTGCTCTCCTGATTACAAAATGACCATGATGATGTGCTTGTTTCAGGCTGATGATATTCTTTATGGGGTTTTTTTGTCAACAAATCCCATGAAAGGGCCAAAGCCAACACTAAACTGAGTTAACTAGTAGACAAAGAAAAAATAATTATATTGGCCCAGATATAGGAATATTTTTTTTTTTATCCTAAAAGATCAAAATTGGTACCGGTCGAGCTCTACTACCAAGTACTGTGTGTGTGGCTAAACCTTGATACATCTTATTCCTCTGTGCCAAAGACTGGGGAAAAACAGATCAGTGTGCCACACTGTTCATTATGAACACACACACACACAGTCCCACATACACCATCTTACTGCCGCGACTGAAAATAGTCCCCAACAAGTGCATTATTGACACTTTTTTGAATAACATTTGTTAAAAAGTGAGCAGCTGGAAATTACTGAGCCTTAAAATTTCATGGGCTTTGTTGAGAAAAAGAAAAATGTAGAACAGCGCTCTGCTAGTCCTTTAATATCTTCATTTTAGAAGGTGATGGTTGTGTAAAATGGTTATTTTGGATCAAATAACACCATGTACAACACCTGTTGTTATTGATCAGAAATCTTATTCCCACCATTTCAAAGAAAAACATACAAACTCATTAATCAGAATCATCAATGAGCATTTTCATTCAAACAACAGGCTAGAAACATTCAAGTTTGAGTTCATGCCTGTTATGACTCGTACGCTTTGTCAGGTGTTTTTCACTCAGAGTTATGAGACACTCATACTGAGAGAAGTACATGCAGGTAGAAGTCCACAGCAGGCAGAACTGGAAACCCATGCTGACTGACTGACAGCACCAGTCTAGTAGTTACCAGTTGCCTGGGTGGAGGCATGGATGGACTCTAGGCCCATTACAAGATCTCCTCATTTGGTAAACTTCCCCAGTCTTCACTCTGGCTCTACAAATACAGAATTGAGCCAATCAGAGACCTCTTTCTCTCTCCCTCTCAGGGTAAACGTGGAGTGGCATTCCATATGAGGATATCAACTAAATGGTTTAAAATGGCAACTTACTTCCTAACTGCATACACTTAAAAGGAAAAAGGCCTACATTAGGAACTTACCATAAGCCTTTAGGATCACAGTACAGTATGTTCTGTACAGCACAGCTACCTGATGGTCCTGCTGACTGTAAATCAATGAACAGCTTCACAGTTTGTCCTCAGAGATTATGGACTTGGCTCAGCAGCAGCAGCTGCCTCACAGCTGATGGTTATGGACCACATTTGAATTTCCTAATGCTTTACTTCATTACTTAGTTTAGGCTACTTTGTATTCCCAGTTTGGTAACAAGAGTAAAATTTCAAAGTCATTTGAGTTTGTAAACTTTTGGGTGAAGTTTATATTTTTCCATTTCATGTTTGTCTTCTTATCCATTTGTACTGCACAGATGATGAATGATGAACTATGAAAATGTAAACAAACTGACTAGCCTTGAGGCGTGGTTCTTGTAAAATGAAACACTGATGGCACAATAATAAAAACACCACTAGAGTGAAATATTAAGGTGATGTCATATTCTCTATAATCCAGCAGGATAAAGAGAAACGCATAAAGTGAGGTATACTGCCAAAAGCTTTTTAAAGTATGTTTATTTATTTTTCTTACATGGAGTTTTCACAAAAGCCTGACATCAGGCTGATATTACTGGCCGATATTGACTGATCTCAGCACATGTTAGAAAATGTGCAAAATTATAGATTTTTAGTTACATTAAATCCATAGTCTTATTTCAGGTTTATTCTGCTGCGCAGGTGGTACTGTTACTCATATTTGGTTATTTTTAAACCCTCAAAACATCCTGCCTTAGTGCACATCTTTATCACAAATCCCTCAAAAATCCAGTATTGTTTTGCTCTCTACAGTTCACGTTGCCCTTCTCCACTGGGTGTTAATGGTTTGTCAGCAGTGGGCTGATTTTGCTTCCCAGAACTCATTAGCAGTGCCCTTTTGGCTCACTAACTTACTAAATGTTGAGCAAACAAATTCAGCACACCGATCAGCCTGCTGACACTGACTGGGTCTATACCACACTGCTGTGTAGTGCCAAATACTGTTCTGTTCATTTTAGCCTCATTTACATGCATTTAACATTAAAAACTGCCTTCACAAGATCACTCTTTAAAAAACTGTGTGTTTTGTAGCATCTATACAAATTAAAAAGCTCTGCTGTAACAGAGTCAAGTTTTCTGAATTATGATACGTTTAAGCTTTTGATTTATGACATTAATGGATTTAAGTGAAAGACAGCATCATGTGTATTGAAGCAGAAACACAGCTGTGGTGACGGATGTTTGTCGGCATACTGCTGAATATTCTTTTAGTCAGAATCATAATTGTGATAATCTAGGCCAGGGGTGTGTGTGTGTGTGTGTGTGTGTGGTCTCAGCAATGCAGACAATGAGGCTTTGTTCTGGGCTGCAACCTGAGTTCCCCTCACATCAACTATAAAACAAATTTGGAGAGGTGGAGAGTCAAATCATTTAAAATATTTTAGTGACACTGATAGAGAAAACAAAATTTTATAATAACAATAACAGAGCCTGTGATTGAATCTGGTGATATTACATGTTAATGGCATTCTTGTCACTGTGAAAAAAATATAAGCTCTTTATTAAAATTTTCATTGAAAATTAAGCATAAATATTCTCTAATAATACAGACCTTTGTATGTAAATATGCTGCTGACAAAGAGTTATTGGTTAGTTACATCAGAGATATCAGGGTTGAAGTAAATATGAGGCAGAAAAACCACACCAGCAGCTTCAATATCTATGCAGTATTACTGACACTTGAAGTACTGCTGGTATGTTGTTTCTCCCGGCTTTAGTGTTGTGTTGCTGAATCTACATCTAAGTTACATGTTACATCTAAGGCTACTGATCTAACACTACAGCAAGGGTTATTTGGGTTCTTACAAACTGTACCTGCAAACAGGCGCATCTGAAAGTCTAGATTCTGCAAATCACAATAGTAAAGAATACACAGGCAAAGAGAGAAAAATGTCAGCTGAAATCAAGATCAGGCAAACTAAGTGGAAGACAATAAAGCACTGTGAAGGCAAGGAAACGGAAATCACAAGAAATAAAATGTCAAACATTTGTGAAAAAGGCTGCATAAATCAACTGAGTACTACAGTGTATTCAGGCAGCTAAGAAAATGACAATAAAGATGTATTTAGGAGTGGTCATTAGGAATTCAACAGTGACATCATGAAGCACTAGCAGTCCATAGTGCCCTCTCACTTCTTAATAAAGCAGTGAAGCAAGTTATGACTTGAAGTTACAACAGAGAAACTCAACATTCAAGACTCCCTATAAGCAGAGGGTAAAGTAACTTAGTTATAGCTACTCTAGTTAAGGTTGTGGAGTTCATTTTTGTAGTAACAAGGTCCACATTTGACTTTTTAAAATATTCAGTCTGACTTCACCTGAGTATTATAAGGAATAAAGTACAATAAGGTAAGACAAGTCTCTTACTCTAACATCGTAGAACAGCTAGCGGACCGTGAGGAGATAGTCGCTGAATCTCAAAATGAGAGGGTTTTGAATCGCTTACCCCGCCTTTAAGGCCCGAAATTGTTGCACGTTTAAAAATAAATATGACCTCACACTGTGTCAATCATGTTTACACACAGAATCCAAAACCTTCGTCCGTCTGTAAAGTTTTCGGAACAGGTTTGGATTTTTCGCATCTGTCAAAAGCACAGTATCATTTCAGAACTCATTTTACCTCATTGTGAATTTTCGCAACGAATAGAAAAATAAAACGCATCGGTCTCAGTGTACAAGGTTTCTGTGTGTAACGTTTTTTTAATTGGATGACGGATTAAAAAGAAAGAAGAAAAAAAAAAAAAAAAAAAAAAAAAACGCATACAAAACCAAAGACTTGGTGTGAAAAGGCATTTACGGTTTTATCTCACTGATGTCACCATTTACTGTTCACCCTCTTACAGGTGTATCGCAGCTGTGTGAAGTTACTGCTAATGCAAATCCTGCATTTCCTACTGCCGCTAGTTCACAATAAAAGCATTCAACAGGCAAAACACGGGACAGCTTTTATTGTTGAGCAGTCACAGGAAACACCAGTCATCAAAGATCTGAACAAGGCAACAATCATTTCTACCTCTTGTATCAGCGGCTCAGTTTTAAATATCACAGCAGATAATGGAACAATAAGGAGCAGCTACAGTAAGTGTGTTTCTATCAAACTATTTTTCTGCCTAATTTCAGTGTGAATTAAAAAAAAAAAAAAACGATTGGAAATGCCAGAAATTGCAACAAAGTGCTTTTCTAATAAAAAGTATTGGGCCATGCTTGCTGTTCCACCAGTACTAGTGTAAAATGCTGTGATTCATTCCTCAAACTCTTTCTATTTCACCTGACTTTGATCTGAAAACAGACAGTTACAATGGAGACTGAGGGCAGATTGCTAATGAAGTCATTAGTATGAAATCAATATTGTTTCCACATTGATTTCATTAGATGCCTTACCTCCTGTAGCAAGTCAGCCTGCTCAATGGCCTTCAATACATTCTTTTTGGACGTTTCCTGAGCTTCCCCACCCAGCAAGAATTCATCCAGAATGAAGTAAGCCTTCTCAAAGTTGAAAATAATGTCCAGCTCACAAACCTGTTGTTCAGAAATGAAAGGACACTTATTATGAATGACTTGGTGGGTTCAACAGATGGCTAACATATCAGGAACCATGTCAAGGATACACAACAGATCATAAAAGAGGTGAAGAGACAGCAGAAACGCACACTGCCAAAGTATTTGTCCAGCAGCTCCACATATCTGTGGATGATCTCCAGTGTGATGAGCTCGTTGTCCTGGTCCTCTATGGCACAGCAGAAGTACAGGCTGGCATATCTGCAACACAGTGGCGAGCCAGCCAACTTTAACGTCAATCAATCCACATAAACAAATAATACAAAGAATCTTTCATAGTGAAAACTGCAACATCAGCCTGCATGACAAACTAAATAGAAGAAGAGCTGACTTTGTGCATTTTTATCACTTAGATGGGATCTACAAGTGATTTATATACTGCCTCCCAGCTCCCAGTGCTGAGAGAGTGTTATTATTAAAAGTTCGCCGTTTACTGTTTACAGGGGATTCATTCAAAAGCCAGAAGCCACATGCAGAAGGCTGTACGAGTTAAGCCTCATCCTGCCATGGTTCTTTATCCTCGATAATCCCCATTGCACTCTTTAAGCATGTGATGATTGGCTAATAAAGGAGCTGGTCAGTTGGCACAATGGAGTAGGCTGCAGATTTTAGACAAGTAACACTTCTCAAACTTGACCTAAGACTGTACTTGTTGGCAATATCAATTCCTAATATTGTTGAATTGTTTCGCTTCGTCCTTGTCTGCTGTGTGCAAGTGAATGCAAGCCACAGCAAAGCTCAGGAAACACAAAGGGTTCAGTTCAGTTGTTTAGCTGTGTGTGGCACAGAGAAGTGAGACAGCACTTTTACTGTAGCTGACTAACACAGGCAATGCAAGAGGAAGTTATGGGGTCTGCCTCAGCTCTGATCCCAGGCTGATTTTGACACATGGTCAGATGGGCTGCAGTACACATTTTGAGGATTTGGATTGCTAAAGCCTGTCTTCATGAGGACAGGCTGTATGTCTTCATCATGATATGCTTAGAGCTGCAACAATTAGTCAGTTAATTAATCTGTCAAATCGACAGAAAATCAATCTGCTTCCAGATTCTCCAATGTGAGCATTTGCTGCTTTTGTCATATTTGACAGTAAACAGAATAAATTTTGGGAAAAAAAACAAGAAATATGAATACATCACCTTGAGCTTATTCAACATCTTCTGATCTTTCATAGACAAAACAAGTCACTGATTGAGAAAATAATTGCAGATTAATTGATAAGCCCTAGACATGCTGTGTCTTCTTCCTATAACTTTACTGTAGCCGTTTTCTGCAGATCTCATTTTTCCAGAACCATGTCACATTTTATTTTTCATACTGTGTAATTGTCACAAACAGTCTAAACATCAAACAGCGGAAACAGTGATAGCCTTTGTTGTATTAAAAACTTTCCACTGTGTGTCCTAAGGCTCAGGTGGCATACCCTGTACCCGCAGATCTGACCTGACACCTTATCATTTTTATTTCTTCTCACTAAAGTTAATAGGTCAGTAACGTCTCCACCAATACTGAATCATGTTCTCAAAGTAAGTACTATTGCATGTCTTTTCCTTCACCTCCAGCAAAGGTATTGTTCATCTTTGACACACAATATCAACACTCGGACAGCTCTATGTGAATACGTAGGGCTCTCTCTTTATTGAGAAAGTTAGAGAGTGGAGAGCTACAAAGAACTGTGAAGAAACATATATAGATACTGACCACTGCGGTACAACTAGATCCAGAGGCAGCAGCCCTAATCACTTATTTAATGACACTTTCATGACTTAATAGGATGCAATAAAGAGTCCACTGAATTGTTAGGCAAAACACACAGACACATGAATAAACTATTCATAAGTATGAAAATGGGAAAGTTATTATTTTAAACTACTTAAATTTAACAGGAAGACAAACATTTCTCTGGTTGTGCAATGGTGCAAAGTCGCTGACTGGTTATCACTTCGACTGCTGTGTTAGTCTGTCTTTGTTGGGTCAACTGGGTTCACCAATAGTCTGCCTCGTTGGCACAGCAACAGGATATAATGAGGCAAAATGAATGCTCTTTCTTGTTGTATTCTGAGTGCACTCATGATGCCATGATGAAATTCTTCCAGTACAACCAGAAATCCTTTTGTAACATTCCTACCCACCTCTTATATACAATCTTGAGGTCTCTCCACTCCAGAAAGCTGCACATTTTGGGCTTTCGAGCCAGAACCGTCTGCACCAACTCTCTGGTGATCTTCTTTTTCTCTTTATCAGATAAAGGCACGTACCATTTCTGAAGCCTGAGCTTGCCTTGTCGACTGAATAGAAGCATGAACTGCATCTGAAATAAAGAGATGAGAGAAAAGCACAATGAGAGATGAGAGGAAGGAGTGGTTGCTTAAAGACATCCGCAGGGAGAGGCAAAAAGCATTCAAAAGAGAAAATCTAAAACACTTTTTATATGAGACTGGATGTAACATTAGATATTAAAAGTCAGACTGATTCTGACGTGGGAGCTCAGGGCTCAAGAAATTACCAAGATACAAGACAGATTAAATTTAATCAGCTCAATCAAAGTCAGGAAGTGAATAAAAAGCCAACCCTTCATGCAGTAATTTAATATTGATTGCCAATAGCACAATTAGGTGTTAAGCTATATGTGAATGGACTGCTGCCATGTGTCTAAGATAAACAGCGCACCGTTTCACCGCATGTTCAAATTCAGCGACTGTTTACCAGAGTCAACACATCAAGATACAGTCAAACAAATCACATGACACTGCCATTTAAAAAAAACAATTTAAAAGCCAGTTCTCTACAGTTACAGCAAAGACACGACTGAAATCATCATCACGTCTTCACCGTTATCAACACAGCCTGGAGGAAGTAATTTTGCCGTTAACACCGTTATCGAGCCGTTAGCTTAAGCGTGTTCAGCACCCGCCTGGCCTGTTTTAAATACGACATGCGCCCGAGCGTGTGTGTATATTTTATTATAAAACGTGCAAAATTACACACTCAAAACTACTTACCTTGAACGACTACACGGTATTCTCCGCTCAAGAAAATGAGGCTCCCAACGCCACCCTGAAACATACTCGGACAGGCATCAAGCTTTTGATTGGCCGATGAAGCGCTCAGACGCTTGTTCATTGGCTAACATTTACTTTTACGCCAGTCTCCGCCTATCTAAAACCTTTAACTCAGAATCGCGGCTGTGATTGGCTCGGATGTGCATCAAGCAAACCACAAGGAGCAGGATAGGTCCGCCCTTTAAACGTCATCATCAGAAGCATCACCTGAATGTTTAAAGAGGTGGTCCATTATGCAGGAGTGACATGTAGCTTTGTCACAGCTGGAAGTGGCAAGTGTAGGACTTTATATGCCATATAGTGTGTTTGATATGGCTTTTGATGGTGGACAACATTTAAAATAATATATAGGCTCAAATGAGTTATTCTAGTGGTATTTAGTGGTTGCCTACTCTATCAGGCACACTGACACGCTGACTCACTCACCAATCACTAGTTAATATCACAGCAAATGGAGAAAAAAGTATGCAGATATCTACCTGTTTACTGGTTACCACTTATTATTTATTCATCATTCTTTCGTTCTCTATTTCAGAACTGTTCATACTGTTCATATTGTCATATTGTATTGTCTACCAAATCTACCTACCTCAAGTAAATAACACCTGCACATAATACTTATTTATTCCAGCATCCTTTGCACTTTGCTCAATCGCACTGTGTTCATGTGTACATGTATGTATGTATGTGCATCTGTATATCTCATCCACCTCCAACATGAACATAATAATAATAATAATAATGATACTTTACTCCTGCATCCTTTGCACTCTGCTCATTGCACTGTTGTCTCAATCTGTCTATATTGTTTTTGTTTATAGTGTGTAGATATGTGTTCTCTATACTGTAGCCTGTGCCTGATTTTATTATTGTATTATTGTATGAGTAAGCACATCCTGAGCAATGTACAATCCTGAGTCAAATTCCTCATATGTGTACACATACCTGGCAATAAAGCTGATTCTGATTCTAACTTTGTTGCCTTTGGACAAAACCAGGCTAGCTATGCTATGCTAAGCTAAGCTATGCTAAGCTTCTCCTGTATCCAGCTTCATATTTAGCATACAAATATGAGAGTGGTATCAGTCTTCTCAACTATCTCTTAGCAAGAACAAGGATAAGGCTATTTCCCAAAATGTCAAACTACTCTTCTTAGATGTAAGACAAAATGTACATTTACATGTAAAGTGACATTATGGCACCTGTTGCAGTGGTGGACACAGTTTTTTTTAATCAGATGGGACAGCTGAGGTACAGGGAGCATGAGCAAATTAGGTCACTAGGACGTCCCTTACTTGATGTTTTAAAGTAAAATATTAACATGGGATCATCTGTGATTGCTGTGAATTGAGTCTTTGCCTAGGCCATTTCTAATGTGTCACCAACGTATTCCAACACATAAGTAGTTTGTAATGTTGAAAGGTGATGGCATCATAATCCTGGAGGACTCCACCGCCATAGAGAATGATGCTCACTCTTGATTTATGAAGTGATGGCATTCCCCTCAGCTGCAGTACAAGCAATACAACAATAAGACAAGCTTAGGGGAGGTGTCGATGGGCCAATAAAGAGTGTTAGATAAGGTCATCACGGGTCTGTGGATTATAGTAATCCTGTCCACTAGTGTTGGGTGTCACACACACATCGCATTCCAGCACAGCTGAAGAGGAAGATGGAAGTCACTGCTCGTTGTGCTGCTGTACTGCTCGTCCTGCTTCTGTCTCAGGGTAAGTGTTCGCCTGCATGAGGGATATTATTAAATCATAACCATAGACTGTATATAAAAAGATTATAACACACTCTGTCTGCCTTAAAAAGTGGGCATTTACTCACTGTTCTTCCTTGCTTGTTGTGTCTTTTTGTAACCATGCTAATCAAAGTGCTGTACAGAAACTTTGCCGCAGTAAAATTTGAGATTTACTTTATTTCATTATGAAGATGTTTGTGGAGCTATTCATCGATTGTGTCTGTCACAAAAATAACAAAAACAAATCTCAATTCAGGTTTCTTCTGGTCACAAACACACAAATAATGCAGAATAGTTTCATAGTCATGTTTATGACACGCAAAATAGCAGCAAACTTCATAAATAAATTTGTCAAAGTCTTAATTTTAGTTTAGTTCAACAGAAGTATGGTTTTAGCTTTCATATTAATGTTCACCATCTGCCTCTACATTTCATGCATCTGTTGATGTGGTAAAGCCCTGATTGCTGTTCACTCACAGGAGGTAAGCGTCCCTTAATAAACCACCTGAAAGAAAGTTTGAAATGGGGTTTTGAACTCACTCTGGGAGCAAATTCTGCAATAACTCCTCCCTGTGTGCCCTTCAGGAAGAGGAGGCTGTCCAAGAGGTGGAGGTCGTCCAGGAAGATGAGGTTGTCCAGGAGGAGGAGGCTGTCCAGGAGGCGGACCAGCCGGTGATCGAGACGTGGACGCGGAACATCAAAGCCTGCACCTGTGACTGCGAAGCTGCTGATTCACCGACAGGTATCCCCTCTGTCGTCCCATCTGTCCTGCCAACGTCACTGCCACCGCCATCACCTCAGGGTCACTCACTGAACTGCATGCCAGGTGAGGACTCTTGGCTGGCTCCACCTGGGTTACATGACCTGGTTTGACTTGTAGTCCCCTTTCTGTTGGATGTTGGACAGGGCAGTAAGTTTTGAAAAACGTGAGGCACATTATGTGAAGGACGCTGACATGGTAGGGCACATCACCCACGTAAAGATGAATGAGATGAATGGGCTTTATATCCTGTGGATCCACCAGAGAGCTCCAGTGGGTGTGATGGATCACACAGCTGATGATATCTGGCTGTGTCCTTTATATGCACTCAGCCAGATCTTGGCTCAGTCTGCACAATCACCTTCTACTATGACATTTTTTTCAGCCACACTTTTACTTTGAGTTAAAAGGGCATGGATCTGTCATAGAGATGAAAACAGTTTGGGTTGAAGAAATGGATAACTGTGAGGAAGAGGCCCGGAATGGCAAAAGCTGTTAGATAATCTCATTACCTGTGCAGGAATGTGATGAGCAGATTAGGGAGCCCAAAATAGGGCGTGCCCTTCACTTAATAGCATGATACTGGGCAAAGCAGCACACGGGATGATGTCCCGATCATCTTATCTTCCACCGTATCACGCAAGCTTTCAGAGTATCGGATCTTAGTGTAAGCTAGATCATCAGCAAGCAGGAAGGCCGGTCAGAATACTTTATTAAGAGAATAAAATCATGAAGACATTCAAATGTTACTTGGGCATTATACTGTATATTGTTTTTGAGGCTGTGAAAAAAAACCCTGTGTCAACCTTTTTTATGAATTTATTTTGACATAGCACGGCATAATGGCAGCATTCAGATAGTGTAGTCATTATGAACAGTTAATTAATTGTAACAGAGGTGATGTGACAAAGTGGACTTTGTTCCAGTTGCAGGTCAGGCGTAAATCTGGAAACAACTTCAGCATCAGTAAAAGGATTGCATGCAAGTGTCGAACACAAATATACTGTATGTCAAGCCCAGACCAGATCAAGTCTTAAGCAATTATCTTCCTATATTAAGTAAACTCTGGCCGTTCACGTGTTCTGATGGCTGAATCTTACCAATGAAAAAGTTTTAATGCTGCAGTAAACTGTACATCTGTCCTCCACAGAATGCCCTTACCACAGAGCCCTGGGCTTTGAATCTGGATCTGTGACATCAGACCAGATCAGCTGCTCCAATCAGGAGCAGTACGTCGGCTGGTACTCCTCCTGGACCCCCAACAAGGCTCGCCTTAACAACCAAGGCTTTGGGTACGTCACAGCAACCTACCTCTTCTTATTGTTATTGTGAATATACTACAACAAAAGCATACATACTGTTGGTTTTTGCTAGGTGTGCGTGGCTGTCCAAGTTTAATGACCAGTTTCAGTGGATCCAGATTGACCTGAAGGAGGTGGGTGTGGTGTCTGGCATCCTCATCCAGGGCCGCTGCGATGCTGATGAGTGGATTACTAAATACAGCGTCCAATATCGCACCGTGGAAACTCTCAACTGGATCTATTACAAAGACCAGACAGGAAACAACAGGGTAAGTACACAAAATAGAAGTCAGTGTAGGACTGAGGAAAGTGGATTTGAAGTCTTTTTAATGCAACAAATGGCAGGTTTGTGACTCGTTTCTTTGTCACCAGCAGAGTTGCAATAAAAAAGTGTGAAAATTAGTTTCCCTGACATGTCGTGTAAAATCTTAGTAAGAACAAAAAGTGACGCCCTCACAGAGACAAACAAACAACAAATTATCTGAAAGTCTTAGGCACTAGTCATTCTGCTTTGAGTTGTTCAGCACTGTACACACACGCACGCGCACACACACACACACACACACACACACAGATTATATAACCTAGCCATTTTTTTAGCGGAATACAGCAATGGACAACTTCACAGTACTGCTTTTGTCCAGTAGATCAAGGTCAAGGATTTAATGCGACACATAAAAAAGACCAAATGAAAGCTGAATCAATCAATAATCAGCTATAACCCATAAACAGTCCATTGCTGTCAGTCCTCTGTTAAACGCAAATGTAGGCGTGTATTACAATCCTTTAGGTAAAGGTAACACTAATGATCACCTCTTGATTGTCTACCAGCTAATAAAACTTATCACCATCATTTAAATTGCCCCCTGTAGGCTCAGTTATATTTCTCCCTGTGTTAAATATTGAATTAAGTATGTTCGCCTCATTACTGGAATTAAATGAATTGTTTTTTTAGTTAGTGAAGAATAAATAGTCTGGGATTTTATTCTCCAATCTGCTGTTAAATGGTATCTATTAGGAATGTGAACACAGGGATTTCAGCATTTTAAACAGATTCAGTGCAACTACTCACTGTTATTGACCTTCAGATCTCACGTAATGTTACTCTTGATGGTAATATTTTGGATTTGTCTTCGTCTGTTAATTATGCTTACTTTGTTCAATCTGACTCAATGGCCACAGCCTGTATGTGAAAATGCCCCACTAAAGAGCTGCCGTGTCACTTTTCTTAATATTTAGTTTTTCTGCATTTTCCATAATAATCTCTCAGAAAAAGGTGACATGGCAGAGTTTAGCATGGCTTTATTTCCACTGAAATGATTTGTTTCTCTCTGGTTCCAGCTTCTCCAGTGTGAGGATTTGCTGCTATTCTGTTTCATATCATTTTAAATTGAATGCACTCTTGGTTGAACAAAACAAAGACATGAAAATGTCACTTTAGGCTTTAAGAAAGTGTGATTAGCACTTTCCACTATTTTCTGACATTATGTAGACCAAGAAATTCATCGATTAATCAGGAAAATAATAGCTTCAGCCATAATGTTTCTTTTCACTTCTATTTGGCGGCCAAATTATCCACTGTGATTTTTACATACACTGAAAAAAATATGCTAGTGTTTAATGAGCCAAAATGACCACCAAATATCTAATTAATGCAAAGACATAAAAAATAATAGTTTAAGGAATAATCACATCATATGGGATCCATGTCAGACATGTTTTTCCTTAAGTATAAGAATGAGCTTGATAGGAATCATATATGAAACATCAGTTTTCCTGAGATAATGGATCCTCATGAAGAACGAAGTGAAAATGAAGAGACATGATAATAAAGTCGTTCACATGCAGTTTACTTCCTACCCTACAGGTCTTCTATGGGAACTCTGACCGCTCCTCTTCGGTGCAGAACCTGCTGCGCCCACCCATCGTAGCTCGTTACATCCGCCTGCTGCCGCTGGGCTGGCACACCCGCATCGCCATGAGGATGGAGCTGCTGATGTGCATGAACAAGTGTCCCTGAAGTGAACTCACCCTGCTTTTTCCTCACTGTCCATCCTTCCCCTGCCAAGCGGCGGCTTGCCAAAAGGGGGACGCTGGTCCAGCAGTGAATTATGACCATTATCTCTATAACATGTCAGTCTTTCTGTGGTGAGACTCAAAGAAAACTAAGTCTGGGCTGGTGGACATGTTCGGTGTCCTTTGATGCACTACTTCTCTGTCTTAAAATACTTACAAATTAATTGTTTTAACATGTAAATACAAAATTGGACACCTTCTTCAGTGCATACAGGGAATTCCAGTTTGAAACGCAATTTGGAAGCCTGGAGTTACAGGAGTAAAACATATATTTGATTACTTATTCAAAACCCTGTAATAAAAACGATTCTACAGATTAAGAGTCAAATCAAAGGAGTTTGTTTTATTTGAGATTTACTGTTACATATGTAAACATGAATATTCTAAAATTGTTAAGCATTCATTTGTGGGTTTATGTTCTCATGTAAATGCTCTGTGGAAAAAAAAAAAGCAGATAAACACTGACTATGCTACTAATTTGTGTCTGTAATAAAAGCACAAACTTAATACTTGATTTCATTTAAACAGTTGATATACATCTTCTGTTATAAATATTACCAAACAAGTAGTCACACATCAGTATTAATATAATACACAGTGCTCCTTCAGCAAAACAATAATCCAAAGAGAGAAATGTATTGTGTGAAATACAGAGTGTGCACAGTCCTTACAGATGCACAATACACAATACGATACGGTCATGTTTGGACAGAGTGTGTTAGTGTGGGAGCCTCAGGCCCCTTTGTTTCAGTCTTCACACACTGTACACATGATGAATATGAAGTGAGGAAGAATTTACAGAATCAGAGAAATATTGCTGAGCCACAAAGTCTCTTCAAAGTGCAACATTAAAAAGCTTAGGATTTATTTCTGCCAAGCTATTACATGGCACTTTATCCCAGACAGAAAACGATGTTACAGTGCAGAGCCTCTGCCCCCACTGTGGTTCTATAGTAAGATGTCTCAAAAGCTTGACCCAAGTGGCTCAGTATGTGCAATCAGTTAAAAATACACTAGTACAGTGATTCCCAACCAGGTACATGTGAAAACAGGGGGTTTCAAGGGATGACATGGAAAGACTGTAGAGCAGCTGACACCTATTGACACATTGACACGTGTTGCGACTGAAAGTGTGTGAAAAGTTAGCAAGGAAGATAGTCTAAACATGTAGTTAAGGGTAATGGATAAACAGTCCAAATAGTTCAAAGTAATGAATAAATGGTTTAAAAATATAGCTGAAATCAATGGATAAACTGTTGAAATGGTTAGTGTAAAAGTCTTGGGGAAATAGCTAAAATAGCTAAATGTAACAAACAGTTGAAATAGCTAGTGAGAAAGTAATGGACAAATGGTGAAAAAGCTAACATAAATGGATAAACAGTTGAAATATTTAAAAACTAAGAGTAGTAATAAATACATGGATGAAACAGCTAAGAGTAATGGATGAATAAAAGGGTGTTTTTCAACCAGCTTCTGCCACTACAAGTGGGAGCAATACAAATGTAAACTCAACTAATCATTGACCGTTCACCTGTATTAAACACACTGTAATAATATACTTTTATATAATCAGTTGTGTTAAATAACATCCAGTTCATGATCAATTCAAACACACATTTGTAACATGATGGGTGGTGTTGATTAAGGGGTACAATTAAGTTCAACTGACGTTACTGGGGACCACTGCACTTGTACACCCAGAATGGCTTTTGTGTTCCTCTAGCTGCTGTAAAAATTACTTTCTAACAATGATTAGGGGGGAAAAATCCTTGCAATTTAGGTTTTACAAGTGAAATCTTTACAGCAGTTAAATTTTATGTAATATTTGGGATGTATTTGTACATTTCTTTAACTGATTAAACAAGTAGAACCACTTGGAAGATGCTTATGTGAAATCTTTAAGTGAGAAAAACAGACTTCCTTGAATCCTGGAGGGAAGTTATCAGAGAGAATCACATCCTTCAGGATCTCCATATGTCCTTTTCCATGTCCTTTTTGAAGTTTGCTTGAAGCAGGACAAGTTTCAAGGTTTTACTACTGTATAAATCACCCATAAGGGTGCTTCATGACACTTTTATATTAATAAACATTTAAGTAAATTAGTTTTGATTACATTACTACCAAAAGGGTTGTTGGTATAGTCTGTATAAGGAACAGTTACTGTGTGCGTTCTATTTGAGATGAGTGAGGTGTAACAATAGTTTTAATTGTATAACGTCTTTTTTATAATATATATCTAAATGGTGATCTACACATATTGGGCATGAAAAGTCAGTGCCTAAATGTTAGTGCATGTAATGTCATAAGACAGTAGCTGCAGTGCTTTGTTATCTCCTACAGAGGGCGATGTAGGTTCGATTTCTGTTAGTTTATGGCACCATAGTGTCTAAAATGGCTGCATTACAAAAAGACATAAAAACCTAAATATCCTGAAAAAGAACACATAGATTTAAGCTTTATAGATTGTCAGTGCCAACTCAGAAAAACTGCACAACAGCTATATTTTCAAGAACAAGACAGTTTTGACTTGACTTGACAGTTGCACGTTTGAGCGTCTGTGTCCAGTATGACAGAGCACATCCAAAGGCAAGACAGCTTGGAGTTACAATCCTTGGTGAGATGAACACAATGTAAAGTTACTGACATTACTCTTTTCTATTGTAACAACTGATAAAACTTTATTTGTTTAGAATGCCTTAGATGATCTTAAGGAAATACTACGCAGTAAAATGTACTATATTTCTATATCGAATAGAAACAAAAATACTTACACTTAAAATCTACGCTTTATCTATCCATTTATATATATTTAATTTGTAATATATTTACTTTATAATACAAATTATAATCAGAATTACAGAAGTAATAATATAAAGTATATCAAACATGGAAGCTTTAAAAAAAATGAAGACATAAAAAGGCTTTTGGCCTATTCGCAAGCAGTGTTTAAAACTGAAGGTCTGGTATCTGTGTTTTTTATGTGTGTGTGTATTCAGGAGGTGTACTGTTACGCAAGGGACGTGTAGGAGAAACAGAGGGGAAACGGAGGAGTCTGAAGTGGATCTGAGAGCTGTAGGGTGATGAAGATCACAGAGCCGTCTCTTTCAGGTCATTGAGGTTTGGCATACGAGACCTGGAGGGGCGTCCGAAGCCGTGCCCATTCTGGCCTCCCTTGATGCTCATTTGCTCCGGGTAGGGGTTGCCCTCAGGGCGGCCCAGGGCGGACGTGTGCCAGCCAGACTCCAGCTGTCCGGGCAGCGGGTAGGCTGTCTGTCGGCTCTTCAGCTGGGGCGTGCTAACCCCTGAGTGACCCCGGCCTTCTGTGAAACCACCTTGAGAAGAGGCTGGATTAGGCAGCGGCTGGTAGCGCATATCAGACGGTGCGGTCTGGTTGGAGGACGAGGACGAAAGGTGCAGAAGTTTGCGCAGAGACTTCAAGGGCTGACTCTTGAGAGAGACATTAAAGATGGCCAACATATGTAAATCAAACATTTTAAAAACAACATAATACTTTCATTTCTTTCTTTGAGACTCACCGGAGAGTGTGAATCGGACAGTTTCTCAGGTGGCCAGTCCTTGTCCCTGTCTCGGTCTCGCTCTTGGTCCCGGTCTCTGCTTTTGTCACGGGTCCTGTGGCGGCTGCTCTGATGACCAGAGGACCTGGAGGACTTCTGGACGACTGTCTCCACCCCTTCACTAGGAACCTTTCACACAGTGGGTTGTAGATATTATTTAACCTCTCCAAACTAACAATTTCAAAGTAATGACCACACAATGTAGGTCCACACACTGTAAAGGACAACAAGAAACACACAGAACCTGCTTAGATACAAGGTTTCTTTTCAGTCCTATTAAAACCTCAAAAAGCATTTTTGAAAACATATTAGTTTGGTGTTATCCTTTACATGTGTTCGCTGATCGTTGAAGTTATTTTTGGTAAAAGGCCTTTGCATTGCTTCGTATCAAGTGCAGTGAAGTCATACACATTAAAAAACATGCATCTGGTGCCAGAAACGCTAAGCATTCACTGACCTGAGGAAGAGAAGAGACAACCCCGACAAACGGGGGTTTTTTTTGGTGATATTAGACATTTACACAATCCATGATATCTAAAGCGTTCGTATTTTCAAATGATCTACTCATTATGCAGCAAACACTGTTTTCCACCAACTCCGAGTCTGACTGCCTGATTCCTCCTGGCCAGATTGTGTTTATTTGTGCTCTGTCATCAGCTGTAACCCCCTCTCAGAATCTGAGCAGACTGTCACATATAAATAGAAATGTGAGAGGAAGAAAGAGTCTTAAACACCTGCTGAACCATTACTGCCACTGAGATTGAGCAGTCAGTTTAACGTGTCAAAAAGTGGTTTTGGTTTTTATATTTAGCTTTAGGTTCCTCCTCCTTCCTGATCTGTGCTCTATAATCAAGTCGTGGGGTTAGAGGAGTCAAATCAAATGTCTCTGTGTGATGTTTGTAAGCAGTAAAGCTTCACGTGAGTGTAACCAGTTCATCCTCAGCTCATAACCAGACACATGCTGTTAGGGCTGTGGCTGAAATCAGTGGCGGCTGATTAGAATCAACGGGCCGACCACAAAAAACAACCAGCCAGACCCATTTATCTAACGGGGAAAGACTTGAAAGAATGAGATCCATTCCATCAATTAAATGATCAAATATCATTAACCTGTACATTCAAAACAGACACTTTATTGCCTCATTTCCAATACTGATTAAGAGTTTTACTGACAACGTACCCGCATAGATGGATCTGACTGGTTTATGTTGACAGTTCATTATTACGTGAATGAATCTCGCCATACAAAACAAATTTAAAATGAAACAATAAAGCAGTCCTGATTATCAGTGGTTATGCATGCAATGGGGTTAGTGGGTGAGTAGGATAGTGTAAAACAGCATGTACCATGGGAGAAGACACTACAGGGAGGACTCTCACTGAGGAACTATGCTTTATGTTACTCTTTGGGCTAAACAGAGGGAAAAGACATTTCTTGATGACAGGAGGCCTTCCATCAGGGACTTGCATCTGTAATACAGAGGCACATGACTGGTGGCACAGGGAAACATGATGCACACGACAACAAGAAGAAATGATTTTATCTCTGTAAAGGTGCTAATAAGGCCAATGCATTAACCATTTGAAAAGCAGAGGAGCAGATACAGTACGCAGACAGACATTTAAGGACATAGGCATGAAATAGTGCATCCAGACATGGCTCACATCCTCTGCAGTGCTTGACATGCAAGTTACCATTTGGGCTTTTTTCTTTTTCTTCTTTATTGCTCTGAAGAAACCCTGCTTCTCCTTTTCTTTGGATGGCTCAGAGGGATTCAACACTACAGTATCTGGGCCAGTCCTGAAAATAAAACAAAGGGTACTGAACATGATGTCCCCACTAAAAACATGAAATATATTTT